GACACCTAGGGTCATGGTGGACACCAAGTTGACCAATTTAGAGACAGTAAAGGGCCCTTGAGGCAAAGAAGGCTGACTGCATCCTGGGCTGCAGTAGGCAAAGCATTGTCAGCAGATAGAGGGAAGTGGTCGCTCCCATGAGCTGTGTCCTACTCTTGGTTTTCCAGTACAAGACAGACATGGACATACTGCAGAGAAGTCCTGACCCAGCACCCTGTCCATTGTCTGTTGGGCTCCAAAGGTTGGTCAGTGGAGCCAACATCCACAAAAGAGACAGCAACATGAAGCTGTGTTGACACGGAACAGTGCTGGGAGGCAGCAGGGTTTGGCCAAGTAGCACCAATCCAGCACTGGCACCCCACTTCCCATCCTTGCAATCACTGCCTGCATCCTTGGTGTGGTTTTCCCATTCTTGTTCACCTCTCCAAAACACCTTGATATCTCCCTACTCCAGAGGAAAACCAATGTTGCGATTCTTTTCTTGTGCCTTGTCTCGAATAGTGCTAGAAATCAGAGCAATTTGTTCATGCAAACTCACTTCAGAGATTTCCCATGAATGGGTAAACCATTACGAGCAGATGCAGATCCCTGGAGTCTGGGAAAGACTCCTTCCTTATTCCTATAAACTGAATAGAAATGTATGAAAATCTAGTTGATCTTAAGAAATTGAGCTGAAATTTTGAATATTGGATATGAGTTTCAGAAAGGGAAAGATAAGAGCATGACTGGAGTTTCACCACTTAGAAAATTCAGTGGGAATATGCACAGTAAAAATACTAATTAAAATGATTGAGTAACACCGATTTGTTTCTAATTTACAACTTTAGCTTGTTCATAGCAACTCTGTCTTAACACTAAGCAAAGTATTTTTTGTCTACATAAAAGGTACACATTAAATGTGCACATTTAATCTCCTTTCATTTTCCAATGTTTCTTTAAGTGAAAGAAACAATTCTCTGGGAAATGTGATGGAAGTTCTCTGCCTGGTGTTAGACCAGGCAAGCAGAGGGTTACCTATGGCATGGGGGCAAGCAGAGGGTTACACTTACTACTGTTTAAAATCAAAACATTACATGATTTCTTATCACTACTTTCTGTACTTTGCGTTGATACAGTAAGGTTAATGAAAAAAATTAAAATATTCCTATATTTTGTTTAATCTTCAGAGAAAAATTTTCTTCCATTTGAACATGGCTTTCCACCACCTGTATAGAACATAGGACTGAATTCCAAAACTAGTTGAGGCACAACTTATGCAAAATATGAATTTATGCTTATATTTTAATGAAGAGAGCTTAACTTAGCTTAGTTTATAATTGGAGGCTCCTGACAGCTTCAAGTAAATGTTGGGGATTTTTTACTGTACCGCTTGAGGCAAATTAAATACACATTGGTATTTAAGTAGAAAGCAATTTAATGAACAATACATTGGACAGAGTCCTACTGCAGTAAGAGGTTCTACAGGGAGTCTGCAAAGACGTGGTATGAGCCCACTCCTTATACATGCTTGTGCTAGGACCAGTAATATGATTACAAATCAATACTGTAGCATATCCTATTTTATCAACAATGGAATTTGTTCTCCCTTATATAGACTTGTTTCACCTCTTGCATTCCTGTTTCTATTGTTCAACCTGGTTCTAGAGTTATGCTTTCCCACTGCCAGGATCAAGTCATTCCTTGATCTCCCTTTACCATTAGTGAGCAGTTATAATTTGAATTTCCCCTTCATAGAATGTCTCAAGTTAAACTTTCTGCAGCTGTTTTTCTATATTAGATAGTTGCTGTCAATGGCTCTATGATTTTAGGCACTTTGATTATTTCTCCAAAGAATGGCTGTTGTGGCTGTATCTGTACCCTGTCTCTATTTGCACTATGTAGCGTGATCTAAAAGACTGTGGTGGGCTGACCTTGGCCAACTGCCAGATGCTCATTCCCCTCCCCAAATAGGAGGGGTAAGAAAATAGGATGGAAAAGCTTGTGGGTCAACATAAAGACAGGGAGACTGTTTACCACTCACCATCACGAGTAAACCAAACTTGACCTGGGGAAAAGCAATTCAATCTATTACCAATTAAAATAGATTTTGGTAGTGAGAAACAAAGAAGAAAATTTTAAATATCTTCCCGCATCATATGCCCCCTGCTCCCGTTCAGGTCAACTTCACTCCTTCATTCCTGACTCCTCTATCCCTCTCCAATCCCCTGTGAAGTAGAGGGGAGGTAAGAGTTATGAGAGTTAGTCTGGACATAACAGGGTTTTATGACTCACTCCATTGTGAGTCCTCTCCATGGGCTGCAGTCCTTCAGGATAAATCTGCTCCATTGTGAGCTTTCCACAGGCTGTGGTTCTTTCAAGCCATATCTCCCTGTTCCAGCACAGATTCCTCCATGGGGGTACTTGACTTTTAGTGTTTGCACTAGTGTTTCTCACACTTTTCCCTTTTTGTTTGCCCTCACTCCTTATTTCTATGCTCAAGTGGTTTTTTACTCTTTCTTAAATGTTTTTTCATGGAGGTGGCACCAGCTTCCTCAAGAAAATAGTGAATGGCAGACCTAAAATACACTTTTCTGAACCCAAAAGCATCTTTCAAAGGGCTAGAGAACTGAACCTAAAAGTCTGTCTTCAGGACCTAAGTTACATTAAAAATCTGTTGAAGCATTGGGCTAAAGATCAGCTTTCATTTAATTTGAGAACAGGAAGTAAAGAGATCCAATTATTTCCCAGATTTCTTCCTACCAAGAAAAGGGAAGTGTGCTGAGAGGAGGGAGCAGAGGCTTACCTTGGGTAGTTAAACAGAACAATTCTGATATGCTGGAGGACTATGACTGTGTTACTGCACTGTAAAATATATTGTTCTCCTGAGTTTCTGGAATCTTTGTACAGGTCTCAAAGAAAATGCAGGGTGTGGAAAAGACCTCTGATCTGCTTACATGAAAAGCGCCATGTGTCAGCTGTCTGCCAGGGAGGCTGTTGAAAACTCACCTGGATTCATGAGGAGATTGCTTACACAGAAGTTTTCTGTGCTGTATCCTACACAATTGTCTGATCTAAAAAGGCTTTTCACTTCTTGCCAAGACAATCTGATATGTAAACTCCAGTTTCCTAAATGTTATTTCAACAATACTTGGTACCCAGATTCCCTTGCAAATTGAGGCTTTGCTATTCTAAAATAAGTGATAGGGGACCAGTATTGTTCCTGCTAAAGGATTTGCTGGAAATGCTAAAAAGGTGTGTCAAATGTATCTCCTAGTTTATTTTTGTGTGGAATTTCCTACTATAAGAAAGCAGGCTGGTAGGAAAAGAGATTGTAGTGAATAAAGGGATCGAAATAGGAATTAGTGTTTTCTGCACCGTATATGCAGCTTACATTAACAATACCCTTAAGCAGTGCAGGCTTAATGGCTCTTGGACCACTAGCTGAAGCCATCATGACAGAAAAAGCGTAGCTTGATGGAAGCGAGGAAGTACACGTGATGCTTTCCAGTGCCGTATCTAAGGCCGAAGATCTTCCCGGCACCCGGGAAACGAAACCAAAACTTGAAGGCAGGTCCGCGCCAGGAAAGAAAACCGAAACCAGGTGAGACGGGAGGCGGTGGGACCGCCCCAGGAGCCGCCCTCGGGGCTCCGAACTCGGAGCTGCCGCCGACGGCACCTTAAAAGCGGGAGAGCGGCGGAGCCGGGCCGGGTGAGGAGCAGCGGCGGCGGCAGGTACTGTCAGAGCCAGGGCTTGCTTAGAGTTTGTGGCTAGACTTGCCTTTGGAGTGGGGTTTGGGGCTGAGCCTGCGGTAAGGTTAGGGTCGGCCTTAGTTCTGAGGGGCTCGTGGTTGGCTGCAGGCATGATGCTGGAGCTGGGGCTGAGGTTTGCATAGGGTTGCAGTTGGTTTGGGTTTGGTTTAGGGCTGGACAGCATGCTGCGGAACACCTGGGACTTTGCGAGCAGCTAGGGAGCTCTCCCCAGGGTGGAGGGGCAAGAGGAGCGCTGGCAGGGAGTCAAAGACGCCTGGTTGCCTCTGCCCACATGTAGCCCCAGGCACCTCAGGTGTCAGCGTGTGCACTGAAGGAAAGCATCGAGGTAGCAAAATATTTAAACCTTGTTGGTTTTCTTTCTGAAAGGAGTATAGCAGTTCATACATGCGTATGTACAAGTACAGTTTTTCTTTCTTTGAGAATGGCTGACTTTACATTTGCAGAAATGGAAAGTCATTCTTGGTTAGGAGATTGTTGAAGTAGTGGTGACCAATTTCTCGGTTAGTGACAATTTCAGCATGAAGAAGTACATGATTCAACCTAGAACTGTGTACTGAAGACTTTGATATAACTTTTCCAATTAGATAAGAAAATGGAGAAAAGTGTCAAGCTTATTGCTGCTTTGACAAAAAGTACTTATGTAGGTACACAGAAAATGATTTTGTGTAAATGTATGTATACAAATAACTTACATTGTGAGAATAGGTATTAGAATTCAAGTCACCTTAAGCACACCACTGTAATATAGCACATTATGTGCACAGTATTTTACAAGTAGATAATAAAAATGTATTTTTGTTTCCTTTTTCTGCAGCTTCTTTTGCTAGGAACTTATACTAAAGGAAGGGGAAAACACAAAAGAAAACTGGGGCATAGTTTTCTGTTTGTGAGATCTGAAAAATGTAGATTTCACTTTCTTTTATTATTTTTTAAAAAAGGTTTTAAGAAAAATTATAAGACTAAAAATGACATCTAAAGGTCATATAGTCCTTTTATGACCTTAGGGAAATGAAGGGTAGCAATATCTAAAGGCATATGAATATAAGTTGGACTCTATGATCTCAGAGGCCTTTTCCAACCTAATTGATTCTGTGTGAATATTGCAATGGCAAATACTGCAACAATAAGTACTGCATGAGTCTGTCACCTAAGTGGAAGTTCGGGAAAACTGAAGTTCAGAAGAGCGGAGCTGATGAGGTAGGGACTGTGCAGTGTTATCCCAAGCTACTTGTTTGCTTTTTACCTCAAAGGAACTGAACATTGTGACCTAGTGAAGTATGGAGTTACCGTAACCATTACAGTTCTGTGCTTACTTGGTTTGAGAATTCTACCCCTGGAAAACAAAAAAGAAGAAAAAAGGTAAAACTGATTTAAGAAGTAGGATTGATACCGAACCATGATTACTCCCATCATGCAGTGAAGATGTTGTGGCATGTGTATTTGTGACTGGACTAGCATGAGCAGTGTGGGTACAAATCACTTGAATCAGGAAAGATGAATCATTCCTTGGAATGTGCCATGTAGATATACCTAATATAATAAATTATATCTAATCTCCCCAAGGGTCCATTTATGCAAAGTGCAAAACTAATATGTAATGCTCCTCTTTAGTATATATTAAGAAATACAAACTGATGTTTTCCTTACATTTCATTAAATTATTTATTATTTTTAGAATGAAAATATGTCTCTCAGGGAAGTTCAAAAAAAGGCTTCCTGGTTTTTCTTAAAATTTATTCCAGTGTGATTACAAAGTAGGTAATTTAATGGTTGAAGCCAAAGAGCATACTATATTTCCTGAAAATTATCTCTTCATTACTTAGAGTTTTCTTTTTCTGGATGCCATAATCAAGATCTGTGATGGCTTCTGCAGAATATCATTCCAAGAAAGTTGTTAATGAAGATACAAATGAGAGTAACGATGATATGGACGGTGTGTGTAGTGACAGTGAGAAAATGGGCTTCATTGCAGCAAAGGAAGATGAAGACAGAGAGAGTACAATTGACATTGATGAAGAGGATAAGATCAGTGACAAAGTGGAAGCAGCTGTTTTGCGGATGCTTAAAAAAGAGGTAGATAGAGAAAAAGAAGTCAACAACATAGATTACAGTCGCATTGAAGAAGAGAAACAGGAAGCATCACAAACTGAAGATGAAGATTTCAGAGCTGTCCAGCATGAACATGATTCTCAAAGCCATGGTGAGGAGCTGCTAATAACATATGCTCATGTCTGTTGCATTATCTTACATTTTGGCTCTTTTGTAATTAATTGATGAGTTAAGGTTATATGGTTCTATCAATAACCATGTATGTGATTATTTTAGGAATGAGAAAATGTGAATTTCTGAAGAAGTTGAGGATACACATTTGGGCATCCCTATCAAAGGCTAAGTAAGTACCATGGGGTTCATGGGAAAAAAATGCAATAAATGGTAATAGAAATAGTTTCTTTGAACTAAGTAGACATCACAGTGTAGTACCCCTTAGAGAAAGGAGCTATGTTCTTGTCACCTAGGTTTGTGGAAAACCAGGAGACCTAAGGCATGCTTAGGATTTCATACTTCCTCTAGCCACATGAAGGAAGATTCCTAGTATAATAGAAAGTCTGCCCAAAGAGTAGGGATTGTCTGCATGTTTGGGAACTGATCTACAATTTTAACTATTGCAATTTATTTTTTTTTCAAATTCTTTGTCATGCTTTTTTGAGAATTTTTCCTCACATGTTTTAAGGCTACTACTTTTACAGTATCTAAAACAGTTTGCCTACAAAATTTTCCTTTTCATTTATACCTTCTATAGTTTTGCATGTCAGTTCTCATGCATGATCTTCTGCTTCTCCAGATTTGGTTTCCTTTCCCTGCTTGATATGGGAAAGGAATTACCAGTAGTGACACTCACATTGCCGTTGAAGTGTCTCCTCTGCATTCTTGAGCTCACCTAAGAGATTAATATTAAATAAAGGCAGACAAATGTGTAAGAAGTCTGCATACTTTTTGTTCGTGGAAGGCTACTCATTGCATCAGATAGCAAACTGGGACTGTGAATCAAAAGCTGTTATCTCAATCAGAAAGGAAAGCTAGGTCTTCTCAGGTGTGGGACTAAGGTGAGTATCCAGCATTTTTGACAGCCTTGAAGAAAACAAGCACGTTTTTACTATTAGAGTATATTCTCCCACTACGCATTAACACTGTAATATATAATAAACAGTGTCGTATGTAATAGGCAAACATGAAAGCAGAGAAGCTTTAGCAGAAGAGCTTGCCGTTTCCTCATCTGGCCCTACAAAAGTTATTCTGACTGCATGAATCCAACATCATGTTGCTGGATTTTCATGGATTTTTAAGGAACTGAAGAATACATTCAATTCCTAGGATATATTAAAAACTAAGGTTTATACTTACCATCTTCAGATGCAAGGGATTTGTTTAAATTTTGACCTAAGACTCATTAATGAAAATTTTATCAACTCTCATAGTTATCTGAAATAGGAACTGGATGAAGAATTTTTTAATTCTTTGGTCTCTTGAAGTAATGGATTGTGGTTGGACTCTCTTGCTGTTTACGTGTTTTTCTGCAATAGACATTCCTTGGATAAGGGAGGTAGTCGTCATTGTCGTGATAGTTGCTATTTTTAGCTAAAGCTCAGGCAGGAAGGCTCTCAAAATATACCTTGTTATTACTTCCTGTGGGGTATTTCTTTTAGAACAGATAATGCTTCCTGCATAAGCAGGCATGGACAAAGGGTGGTATATAAGTCACAAAAACCTCAGATGCTACAAAAGTATCTGGAATTGTAAAGGAGACAATTTCTAATACATTCAGTAACTGAAAGGATTGCAAGCTATTTAGGAGTTAGATCCAAGAAAGTTGATTTGCTGTTGATTTTATTTATACATTTAATGTTTAATGTATTAGTAAGAAAATTTCTTCTGTCTCATGTCCCCAACTTTTCTTGCAGTAATGTTAGGTACATGTTTTGTGTTTTTCTTTCAGGTATGTCAGTCTGTTAAAAGACTTTGTTGAGTCTGAATTCTTTGTAATAGATGGGGATTCCTTACTACTTATGTTTATAGATAAGAAAACACAATATCTAAACTTCTTCTACCAAATTGAATGCTTTTTGCATGATTTCGCTGAAAAAGGAGCAAAATACGTCATTACTTTCTTCAAGGTACTGAATAAATAACATTTTTTTTCTGTTTAAACCACTGCATTCCTTTTAAACCAACTGCTTGATTCTAATCAGTCTGAGGAATCCGTTCATTGTGTCAACAAATGTAACTGAATAATTTCATTGTGTTTATTTCCCACAGGATGCAGAGCAGATGTTCTTTCAGTATCCTCATTTTCTTTTCTTACGTACTGCATTAATAGAACACCTGAGGCATAATACAAGCATAACTGTTCATACAGAATTTTCCAATTGTTTATCATCCAAATGGGAGATGTTCCTGAAGCAAAGCTATCCTTACTTCATCATCGTATCTGACACAGGACTGAGCTCTCGCCAAACAGACTTTTTATCTATTTTAATTGCTCATTCATTGTCAAAGAAAATCAATGTTGTGCTTGCTTCAGGACAGGAGTATGATCTTCTTAGAGTTTATGGATATCACGTTCAAAGTTTATATAAACACAGATCATTTTTTCAAATGGTAAGCTACACTACTTTGTTGTTGGTTTGCAATAACAGTGTTAGTTTGAATTAGAAGATTTAAATAAAATATCTCAATATGAGTATTTTAATTTACATATTAATATTATAAAGAATTGATATGTGACTTGTTTTCTTTAATCTACTGGTCTCGAAATCACTAACAGGTAAACTTTGTGATTGGTGGCAAATTCGTACCCTGTTCTCTATAGTCTCATTTCACATCCTTTTTCACTTTCTATATGATAGTCCCTAATATAGCCTTTCCCTTATCTTCACTATCACTTGTCTTAGTTGACTTATAATATGCCAGAGGAAGACTAGTGTTTAAGCCAGTGATGTGATTTTTAAAATTCTAGTCAGTTTTTTCTTGGAGGTTGAGGATTTGCTTATATCTTAATGGTTTCTGTCTGTGCCTAGTAGTCCCTAATGCATTGTATCTATTGACTTTTGCATATAACTTTGACTTCTTAGTATGAACAAGATCTGCGATGTGCCTGTGAAAACCTAGTCAGGCACAAACAACCATTGATCCATCTATATGAACATCTCAAGCTGAACCTGAAAAGCATACAAAAAGAGGTAATTTGACCTCTTTGATCCTTTTTCTTTTTTTTTTCTCTTTTTGTTGACTGTCTTCCTTCATTCCTTTACCTGAAATTATTTTCTAACCAGAACTAGGAGCTCTCTGCCTTATCCTGAAGTGATGCCCTAAGTCTGAGAAGGTCTTCTCTGTGGCCACTCTTCTTCACAGCAGCTTGAAACTGTTCTTTCTTTCAAGTTCACTATAGTAGCATGATTCAGCTGAAAGCTGATCAGTGGGATGCCACTAAAGGGATGTTTCTGTCTCAGCAAACGCCTTGTCTTGAAGAAGATAGAAACCATTTAGCATGAAACACCATTAGCACTGGGGGGGTGCAGCTACTACCCTCTGGAGGCACTGTGGCCGTTGCCCCATCCCCATGGCAGCAGCAGTGGGCCAGAGTAAGTGCTGCTGCCAGCAGCAACCTCTTCTGTAGGGATGTGTCTCAAAATCTAAACCTCACTATTGCAGCTGCTCAGGTTTGCACACTCAGTTGACTATTCATGATCTGGGAATTTTTTTCAAGAGCTAGACTAGAGTTGTAAGGTCTGTGCTTGCATGATTAAGCAGTGGTTCTACGATATTTTAACTTCAAAAAATTGCTATTTCTATGGTTACATAGACACATTTAATGCCTAATATACTCCTGCCATTTTCCTGAGCATAAAGTTACACTGCTGTGTTGTGAGCCTACTTCTGCTCCCTCAGAGGACAACAGCAAGGCTTCCTTGGACTTCAGTGGGAATGATACTAGTCTAACAAGGTGAATTTTTAGTCCAGAAAAATATGGTGTTACTCAGAAAGCATTTTAAAGCCCAGCTACTGCCAATATTTTTTAATTATAATTATCTTTTCTGAGGCACAGTCAGGAATTGAATACTCCAGGAGCAGAACCACATCAGGGTGCAGGAAGGGCAGATGGCTGCTCACTTAGGGCTGGGGCCATGGGAGGTTACCTGGGAGGGCAGGGCAGGGCCTCGGAGCCATGGCCTATCCCACTGCCCCAGGCAAGAGCAGGACAGCTGGGGGACCTCTGCAACCCTGGGCATCAGGCTGGGATGGGCTGAGGCCAGAGCAGGTTGTCAGCCTGCAGGGCTGTGGGGAGCTAGAGGCCAGCACTGCTGCTACATTGCTGGGGCAGGACTGACAGCCTGAAAGGGGCTGAGGTAGGACCCAGGGCAGGTGGGAGGAGGTCGCAGGGGTCAGGCAGGTACAGTCAGGGCTGTTGGTGCCCTCAGCGACATGGCAAAAAGGGGAAATTTTTACTAATGATTGTGCCCACTTTTTCTTCTGCAGTTTTTTATCCATTTTTTTCCCTTCTTTGATGAAACTCTGTACAGAATAGGAATAGTCTTTTTTCTTTGTAATTTTTATTATGGTGATAATTTATGCTATTCATAATGTTATGACTACAGGTTTGCCAGGCTATCCATTTGTTGAAACAACTGTGGCCTGAAGGATCTGATATTCGCCGTGTGGTCTGTGTTCTTGCTTGTGCTGTGGGATTAAAAATATACAGCAGCATGCTGGGAAATGCAGATACTCCTATGGGAGCAAACAGAATGCAATCAGCAAGAGTAAGAATTTCGTGAATATCTTCTCAACATGGTAACCCTAAGCATTTTGCTAAGAGGAGAGATGGCTGTCCTTCTAGATAAAAAGCTGAAGAGAGGCCCAGATTCCTCCTTTGTGATTACACTAAATGGTTTGGGTCAAATAATTGCTATGGCCACAGCTTTTCAAAGGGGCATGGTCTCTTTGTGGGTGGCACTGGCCCCCCTGTCACAGTGGCTGTTTCTGGGAAAAGTTTTACCTTAGGAACAATTACTTTCATAGAAAGTTTTATCTTAAGAAGGTAGTTGCACTCATTATTTTTCTTTTCCTAACATTCAGTGCTATACTAGCTTTCACAGAAGAATATGCTTTTCCTCGAGTTAGCGAGACATTTCAGTATAAAGGTTTCTTTCTATGTGTGGTCATTTCTGTGACCATACTACGAGCCTTGTATTTTCATCAAGTTAACACAGATGCAATATATCAGTAATATTTTATTAGAGATATATTCAGTAGACTAGAGGATAGCTACAAGTAGTTACTTAGCAGAGCTCAATTTCCGTACTGAGTTTTTCAGTGCAGTTGAGGAAACAGCATAGGCCTATATCTAGATATTAACTTTTCCTCTTAAAATCATAACATTTCTAGCCAGACAAACTGAAAATTGTTTTCAAGTTTTGTCTTGGTTTTCATAGTCATATTCCTCTTTGGAATTTTTTTTTTTTAACATTATAACTGTTCTGCATCTACCAGCACTACAAGAATGTTCATTTTCAACTAAGTGTGGCTACAAGTAGTTAAAATGGTCAAATAGATCTAAATTATTAGCTGCTTTAACAAAGTGCATACCACTGAATTAAGTAGTGGTGAACACAATTATTCTACTGAAGGATGTGGTCAACTTTTTATCTGTCATCTCTCAACAGAGAAGAAGTAAACACCTATCTCCTGAAGAAGCAGCTGACCTGTGCAGAATGCAATGTCTCACAGTGACTTTTCTTCTTCATATGCCTCTTTCACAGAGAGCTCAGATTAGGGACATGAAATCCTACTGGACAAAGCAAGTTTTACCACTGTTAAAAATGGTATGTGTAGCACTGTCTTAACTTCCTCTGACATAGGGTGCAACTGTAATTTCAGTTTTCATTTTCCTTTATATCCTGCTTCAGTCATCTGATGAGATTAAAGAACGTAATGTACCCACTGGAAACAAACCCTTTGTTTGTTTCTGAGGCTGAGATACTGAATGCCTTCTTTGCTTCAGTTTTCACTATCAAGGCCTGCCCTCAGAAATACCTGACCTAATTGACCATGAAAAAAATCTGGAGGAATGAAGACTTTTCTGTGGTTGAGGAGGTTTGGCTTAGGGACCATTTAGCCAAACTTGACATCCGCAAGTCCATGTACCATGATGGGATGTACCCACAAGTGCTGAAGGAACGGGCAGACATCATTGCTAGACCACTCTCAATCATCTTTGAAAGGTCATGGAGAAGACTGGAGGAAAGCAAGTGTCACCTCAGTCTTGAAAAAGGGCAAGAAGGAGTACCTAGGGAACTACAGGCCAATCAGCCTCACCTCAGTCTCTGGAAAGGTGATGGAACAACTTATCCTGGAGGTCATCTCTATGCATGTGGAAGACAAGAATAGGATCAGAACTAGTCAGCATGGATTGGATTCATCAAAGGGATTCATCATGCTTAACCAACTTGATTGCCTTCTGTGATGAAACAACTGTCTGGATAGATGAAGGGAGAGCAGTGGATGTTGTTTACTTGGACTTCAGCAAGGCTTTGACACTGTCTCCCATGACATCCTCCTAGGCCAGCATGGAAAGTGTAGGCTGAATGAGTGGAAAGTGAGGTTGATTGAAAACTGGCTGAAGAGCAGTTGGTTGTGGTCAGAGGTTTGTGGTAGTGGAACAGAGTCTAGTTGGAGGCCTATCACTAGGGGTGTCTCTCAAGGTTCAATACTGGCCGCAGTATTGTTTAACTTATTCATCAGTGACTTGGATAAAGGGGCAGATGCCTCCTCAGCAAGTTCACTGATGACACAAAGCTGGGAGGAGTCGCTGATACCCCAGAGGGCTGTGCAGCCCGTTAGAGGGACTTCAACAGGTTGGAAATGGGCAGAGAAGAATTGTCTGAAGTTGAACAAAGACAAAGGCAGGGTCCGACATCTGGGGAAGAATAACCCCAGGCACCAGTACAGGCTGGGGGATGAGCTGCTGGGAAGCAGCTCTGCAGAGAAGGACCTGGCGGTCCTGGTGGACAGCAAGCTGTCCACGAGCCAGCAGTGTGCCCTTGTGGCTAAGAAGGGCAATGGTATCCTGGAGTGCATTAGGAAGAGCGTTGCCAGCAGGTTGCGGGAAGTGATCCTGCCCCTCTACTCAGCACTGCATTTGTACATGTATGTGTACTGCTCCTCAATACAAGAGAGGCATGGAGTTCCTGGAGCAGGTACAGTGGAGGATGATAAAGATGACTGGGGGGCTGGAGCATATCTCTTAAGAGGACAAACTGAGGGATCTGTGCCTGTTGAGCCTTGAGAAGAGACAACTAAAAGGAGACCTTATTAAAGTCTGTAAGTATCTGAAGGGAGGGTGTCAAGAGGATGGAGTCAGGCTCTTCTTGGTGTTGCCAAGCAATAAGACACAAGGCAATGGGTAGAAACTGATGTACAGGAAGTTCCACCTGAATATGAGGAAGAACTTTACTGTGTGATCAAGCGCATATTGCCCAGAGAGGTTGTGGAGTCTGCCTCACTGGACATATTCAAGAACTGTCTGGACACAATTCCTGTGCAATGTACTCTAGGATGAATCTGCTTGAGCAGGGAGGTTGGACCAGATGACCCACTGCGTTCCTTCCAACCTGACCCATTCTGTGATTCTGTGAAACCCTACCTGGTTCAGGAATCTTGTGAGCCACAAATGAGTGCGGCTAGGAGAATGGTTGAGGCAAGATCTCAGTAGTTGACCTCTTCTTGGACATCTGCATTTAGTCAGTGTTACTCTTAGCGTACTGGGCTAAACGGATTTTTTTAGTCTCATCCAGTATGGCAAGTTTGATGTTAGACGCTTTTGTTGTTTAAAGTTGGTTATTGCAATGAAGGAGAACCGTGAAAGCAGTTTTCTGATCACAGAGAAGTCAAGTAACAATGTGGTTTTTTTCATGTCAGTAAATCTGTGGTAGTTAACCTTCCTTTGGAGATGCTTTGATACCTCCACATGTAAAGGTGCTCCATAAGAATTAATTGTTTGCTTTATTTTTAACAGCAACAGTTGTGTATGCATTTTGCTCTGGTACAGCTATGTGATACAAACGATTGGAAATTGGATTTAACTTACCTGCCTGATTTAAATGATGATTCGCTGCTCATAAATCTTGCACATTACTATGAGGTCGAATACACTAAAGGTATTTATCATTGTTGAACAGTTTACTTTCTTATAGTTTTTACTTTATTAAGCTGCAAAATGGGAATAAAACTACTTGTATGGGCAGAAATGAGCATAATTTTCTAATGACCCATAGAGCAATGGATACATTTCATGGAATAATAAGGAAACATTTTTTCTGTAACCAAGTTCAAAAAATCACATGTGCAAGTGTCTTATACCAGTACTCATTCAGAATACTTTATCATATCATATCTTTGATGTGCCACCTGTACTAATACATAAAAGAGTGATATAACATAGGCGGCAAGAGTTCTGGGTCACTATTATTGGGTATTCTCAATTCTGTTTGTTTTTTAGCCAGTTTTTTATTAATTTTGTCTTAGTGCAACACAGTCAGAAACTAGATTCAATCCCTACTGTCACTGTGACATTGAGTAATACTTTAATTTCAGATGAGATTGATTCAGACGAGGTCACATATTGTCTTAAACATACAGTAATTTGGGAGCTGGAGCTTTATGAACACCATCAGATGTGTTAAGATTAGCAAAAGAAGTTACCAAAGCTTACAGAAAAAGAAAATACGGAAAAAGATTTGTAGCAAATGTTCTTTCAGAGTAACTGCTTGTTGGTAATCCTCTGCCATGAGTCTGTCTGTGTGGTAGTAAACCAGAACACTTTATAAATCTAGTTACAAGAGGTCCTGTATGTACCTCAGTAAAGCAAGTGTAGAGGAATTTTTAAAGAAAATATAAATTAGGAACACAAAACATTTATTTTTATAATGATACCTATTATTGGGCACTAAAAAAAATTATCAATTCAAGATTCTACCTTGCAGGAGGCAAAGGTCAGAGAAACTCTTCTTTAGCAGTAGAGCTTGCAGACTTTCACAGACAGTCTAAATCTGGGTTTTTTTTCCAAAACACGTATTCTCAGTACATTTCCCTATTTACACTCTGGGCTATTAAAAACTGTGAACATACAACATTCTGTTCTAATTTGTTCTAGTGACTAAAGCCCTTGTATAAAAGTGAAGTTTTTGTGCCTGACGCCGCATAGGTAAATAGATAGGTTCAGTTCGAGTAAACTCAATTTTAAAGCAACTTCCCTCCCCCACCTTTCCTTTGCAGGATTAGAGTTCCAAAAGGATTTGGGGAAAGAAATGGAGAATGACTACCAATTTTTATGGGACGCTGTAAAAAAATTGGCAGTGAAATACAGTTTTGGAGATGCTTTCCCAATACGAAAAACATCCCAAGTATTTCTTGAACAGGAGCAGACATTATTTAGAGGTACTGGCAACTCCACACATTAATTTTAAAAGCATGATCCTCATTGGTATCACTGAAAGTGCTAGGAGTGTTGGTCTGATTTTATTGTGATCGCAAATTCATCCATGCTTCATGGGTCTTCTCCATCCTTCCAACCCACGAGCAAAACTTGCAGCTGATGCAAAAAGAAGTCTGATGTGGCCTTATGGGTGAAGTTCTGACTCCACTGTGGACAGCACAAGTATTGTTATTAACTTCATGGGGAATTGGGTTTAGTTCCGCGACTACTAGCCCAAATCTCTTGTATGGTAAAAAACGTTATGAGTAGTGTAATACAAGTAGTAGTAAAAAAACATATTAAGTACTCATATTTAAAGTAATGATTATGCTGCAGAAAGACTGTCTCTGAGGAACATCTTTGACATATTGACATGTTATGCAGATATTTGGCATGGAATCAGCAAATTAAGTGGAATATAGAACTGTTACCTTAATGGTAGAGAGTCCAGCCATCACTGTAGCTCACACTGCAATTCTTGATGGTTTTAGAAGTATGAGTTGTCCATAAGTGTCTTAAATTACACCATCATCCTGTAGCCCATAATTGGGGAAATGCATGATTGGCTCAGGGATGGTTTTCTTCCCTCACATACAAGACCTGTTCTGAATATCTGAAAGGATTAGGTAGAATTTTTTGCCTGATATCTGACATTCCTTGAGAACCAGCTTGTAACAGCCTTAAAATATTTGTTTTAAACTTAAGAAATTGTATAAATCTTTAGAAGAGACAGTTCATAAAAAAGTCAGTAAAGGCTGGAATTCTGCTTAAATTTGTGAGCGTTCTTCAGCTGGTTTCAAAGATTTCAAGTGGGTAAAGTGGGATCTAGTGGGCAAAAAAGTTTCTTTGTTTTCTGTGTGATATTAGGGCATCTTTTGGCAATTGTATTGCCTATTTCTGTATCTCCTTTGGCTGAAGACCGAAAATGTGGCTAGACTTCAAATGTGCCAAGGATACACAATGTTACTTGTAGTCTTTAGTCATCCAATGTAAGTGCGGTTTGAAAGTCCGTATTTAGGAGACTGTGATCTTTATGGAACCGGTGCAGAAACACAAATGCGTGTGAGATGGGATTGGTTGTAGCATTCAGAAAGTAGCACAGGTGTCTAAAATGGGTCAGGAGAACAACTACTTGAAAGCAATATTGATGTCTGCTACACTCTTCTTTCCACGGTTGAGAAGAAAAAAGAAAAGTGGAACTAGTGAACTGCTGATTACTTTTAGTAAATTTTAATTTACAGAATTTAATTTATAATGTAACTTGACAGAATTTTTAAGAATGATATGCAATTATATATATTCTTAATTAAACAATATTTTTTTTACACTGTTAAGTCTGTGAAGAAGAAATTCCTAACATTGGACTAATCCCAGTGAAATCTGATCTTGTTCAAGATTATGTTGGAGATGTTTTGAAAGACCTACCTGTTTTAAAAAGGTACCTATATGGTTTTTTTTCTAATGAAATAACATTATATGGGCTGATTTTCTACTCCCCTGCACTTTGCATCCATATTATGCTAAATTTTTACAAATGTAGAAATGTTTTTCATTATACCTGGGTAAAATGTCACATACATGTTTACGTGTATTGGTATAAATATTAACAGAAAATTCAGAACAAGAATGGTTAAGAGTAAATATATCCATATTTTCTCATACTGTTATTTGTTTGCATTATAGTCTTTGTTAGTCTACATTCTGGAACTGTTTTTCTAAATGTAAAATTTGTGTTTGAAAGGCCTTATCATAATTTGCAAGGCTCATATTGATTTCAGGAAAAGAAAAACATTAAATAAAAATACTGAAAAAAGTAAGAAGAAGTTATCCTACATTTGCTCTGCTATTTGTGGAAGTGGGTTTTGTGTTATGTAATGAGTATTTTATAGTCGTGTGAATTATGTAGTTACATTTCATTCTGTGATTAATCTGTATGAAAATAAATGCAAAAATGGTGTTTTACTTTGTTAGTATTTCTTTATGAAAAATTGAGGCTATCTTAACAGACTATATTTGGGATAGAATTAAACCCTTTGTTGTTTTTCTGCACAGTAAAACTGTGTTTTGATAAAGACCCAATTTTCAAATGTTTCATGAGAGAAGCTAGAAAACCATTTTAATTTCTGCTCTATTTCATATTTATATATTTCAGCAATGACCCTGCAATTACTTCACTTATTAAATACAAGGAATTCGATGAACGTCGTCACTGGCATTCTGATAGACCTTTGACTGAGGAATATGAGCGAGTGCCATGCAATGCTGATGGTAAGAATAACTAACACAAAACCCATGGGTCTGTATTGGACAGAACATTATTGTAAAGGCTATCATGGTTTTGCAGAAGGACTTCTCATTTCAGAAAACATTTGCAGCTGTACAAATACCTGCCAAACTGGAGCTACTGCAGTAGCCAAATTACACGTAAACTGATACACCGGTACATCATGTGCGTGAATTTTGTATTATCTTAAATTGGTCTGAATATAACAGAATGCGCACCCATGGTCAGATGTTCATCATACATTCCCATTTGTCTGCAAAATGCGTCACAGATTTATACAAACTATGTACATATGAAGTTTAAATATATAGTTAGGATAATGGTTAGTGAGCACATTCACGTACGTGGAAAATCTGCCCAGATGGTTGCACAGTGCATGCATAGCCAATCTTATCTTTTGAGAACAGAATTAAAATAAGAAGTAAAAGAAGTGGTTGTGGTTTAACCCCATCCGGCAACTAAGCACCCCAAAGCCACTCACTTACTTCCCTCAGCTGCAGCAGGATGGGGGAGAGAATCAGAAAGGTGAAAGTGACAAAACTCATGGGTTGATATAAAGACTGTTTAATACGTAAAGCAAAGGCCACATGTACAAGCAATGCAAAACAAGGAATTAATTCACTCTTTCTGATGGGCAAGCAGGTGTTCAGCCATCCACGGGAAAGCAGGGCTCCATCACACATAACAGTTACTTGGGAAGACAAGTTTCATTGCTCCAAACATCTACCCATTCCTTCTTCTTTCCCCAAATTTTATTGCTGAGCATGACACCATATGGTATGGAATCTCCCACTGGTCAGTTTGGATCAGCTATCGCAGCTGTGTTCCCTCTCAACTTCTTGTGCACCCCTAGGCCCCTCACCAGCAGAAAACGTGTTGACTCTGTGTAAGCACTGCTCAGCAATAATACACCTGATTTGAAGAAAATTAACTCTATTCCACTAAAACCAGCAAGAAGTAAATTTAAGTTTGTATTATTCTTGATATTACACATTATAATTTCCTATTAAGTTCTTTCCAGTTTGCAATACTACCGAAAACAAGCCTTGGACTTAGCTTGGAACTTAGATTGGCAAATTTACATGAAATTAACTATACAATACTGTATGTAGCAGGAAGTACTCAAAAATTTCTCTCAAAGATATTTCTATCATCAATAGCATCATACGGTGAATGAAATTGTGAAAAACCTACCAGAAGTTGAGAATTCATGGGTTACTGTTGGTACTTCTAAGGTTGATTATGGTTTTTATTCCGTGACTTAGAAATACTGTTTCCTGAGTGGGTATTTGTATTACTTGACCTATGAAACCAAAATTCCATCTCCTCCTGTTTTTGACTGGATGATTTTTTGCATTCTGTACACTGTGATTTCAGTGGGAAGTTTGGAGAGCATCCCCTGCAGAACAGTATCTAGAGCACCTTCCATAATGTTGAAGGTTTATGACCAATCCATGCGTGCCTTGCATGAATATTCTTATCTATTGAGATAAGTCTTCACACTCAGAAGCAGACTCATCATTTTGATTTTAGGACAGAGAAAGACAGATGCTTGAGTGTGGAAGCATTCATGTGCTCAGTTCAGAATCTTCCATTGCCTAGCATAAGTGTTGTTCCAGCAGATTTATATATTTACGTTCTGATGGCAGACTCTTGTTTTCTTGGGGAAGAAGTATCTTTCTGATCATTTGAATTGCCTTCAGAAGACACCTTTCTATTTTCATAGACTCAAACAGTAATAATTTCCAGACATCCTGTTTTTTAAGTTTTCCAACATTTTTAACGTGCATCTAAAGTAGTTTAAATTTGGGTCTATTGCCTGTCTCTCAGATAGACCAAAGTACTGTTGGATTTCAGTGAGTCTTAGTAGCCAACCTTTTTCAACATGAGATTTTGTCTTTTAGGTCAATTAGGAGTTTTTTTAGGAAATTTGTCAATTACCCAGCTATCTTTGGTTGGTAACAGATTAGTCTGGAATCCTATCAGAGCATTTTTTAGTCAGTTATATTTGTTTGCAGCAAAATCCAAAAGTCCAAAAGAAAGAAGAGAAATACAGAAGTTACAGACTTTTCGTCACTTTTATGGAAGCACTCTGGAAGACAGCCCTTCAAAACATATTGTATATCAAGAGCATGTGTCAGAGAATGCTAATTCTGCTGTCAAAAAGGCACAAAAGAAGCACGTGAGTATATTCAAGTTGCTCTTTCCAAATATTTTTTTCTACTATCCAGGAAAAGATTTCTACTATATGAGTTCTACAGCTGAAGTTTTATGTTCTGAATGTACTAGTGGTTCACAATTGAAGAAATTCAAATTTTTTTTGTACTTCAAATCTAATTAGCTAATTGACAAATGTGTTTTTGTTCCTAGTTAAGAATACTGATGAGTGATTTTATTTTAACAGGCACAGGTAAAAAAAATTAATAAATATGAACTCTGTGAAGGTTAAGGGGTTTTGGCTCATGATCAGTGTTATAATGTGGAGTGAGGGAAACTGGATTTCATTAATTTAATTTTACTTTTAGAAACTTGAGAAATACTAGAAAAAAACCCATTATTAAATTACTTATTTCCTTGCACTATTTGGAAACATACTCTGTGAAAGATCCTGTAGATATTGCGATTAATCCTAGCTATGTGAACATTGTCAGACATCATAGGGTATGTATCATGTGCTTGCATACTTGTGAACAATACTGAGCAATGGTAATTTGAGTAACATTTCATAATAACCTGTAGTATGGATTACAGATTGTGGACTGTTGCATTGCCACTAAAACTCTGTATATAAAATAACTTTAAGTAACTTTAAACTCTTAATTTTATTTAACTTACTGAAAAGCATCCAAATATGATCAGAATTACTATTAGCCATGTATAAAATGAAAGCTTGAAATTTAACTTTTAGACATTTCTTATTATATTTTTCTACATTTTTTTCTTTTTATACTACTTGTGAAGCTTTATACTGGCTTAAAATGAAGTTTAGGGAAGGCCTTATGAGCAACATATATTGGGATTCATTATGTCTTCTTCAAAATGACTTCATTAAAAAAATTCCCAAAACACAATGCATCGTACAGATTAGTTGAAAATTATAAAGCACCTGCTGTGATTGAGTGATTAGCTTGTTTTAGATGATGCTTGGACAGAGTGATGGTTATTTCTAAATATCTTTATTTTATTGGATAGAAAAGTAAAGTGGAAATAATTACAGAGGAAAACAACAGGCGACTAAAAGCTAAGGAAGAAGATAAAGAACAGAAGCAATGGCAAGCCTTATATATGACAACTGTAAAGGAAATAAAAGAAAACCAGACTGTTGGAATAAATAAATTGGAGAAGTTTCTCAAGACCTTTAAAAGTAAATCTGTGAAGTTCAGCATAGAAATGACAGCACTGTCTGCCTGTTTACAAGTGTGGAAGAAACACTGCAAAGAGCAAGGTATGATAGCCAAATTCATGTTCAGTAGTCAACTTCCACTTCCTTTAACCAAGACAGTGGGTGACTTTGGGCATTCTCAGCTGTAATAAAGACATGTAAATACAGCCCTGTTTCAGGAACATGAAAGGTGCTTTTAAGTGTTAACAGGCTCTGATCCCCTTTTGCAAGTTCAAGATGTGAAGTATCCAATGAAATTAGATTGTAGCTGTTTCCCTGTGTTGTTTGTAAACATTGCATACATAAATAATTTTATTTATAGATCTTTAATAATTATCTAGCATGCACAGTAAAATGTTTCTATATATATCATGGATTGTTTATTTAGATGAGGTGATTAGCTTGCAGTTTGAATAATGACAATTTGCACAAGAAATCTGTGATGCCATGGTAAGTAGCCTTCTGTTTCATCAGAATTAACTTGTTAAGTCCATACTCTCAGTCAGGAGAGTCCAAACACACACTACTCTAAACGTGTTCAGAAGAGTTGTAAACATTGGAGTGAAATATGTTGCTAATAAGACTGAGTAACAAATTTGTGCATCAGGAAAGTAAAATGGGGGAGCTCAGTTATTGTGTAGATGTCAGAAGTATGACTTCTTTTTATAGATGAGCATGCAGAAGCAGACAGAATTATTTGGGTCCTTGGTCTTCAGTGGCACTCATTGTAGAGGTGAAAGGAGTCGTCTTTGTCTAGTTGTCTTTAAATAAAATTAATCTTTTAATTGTTATAAATGTGGCTAAGGTCTGTTCTGAAAATACCTGATATCAGAATTCTCTCAGTGATACGATCAGCTCTCAGATAACAGTAGGCTGCTTTTTTTTTTAAAGGAAAGAAATCTAAAGATTTAAGCAAAGCTGTTCAAGTCATGAGGAGAATTCATATCCTTCTTGAAAAATATCAAGATCTCTTGGAGGAACCACATCTACAAAAGCTGACCAAATATCTAAAACTCCTTGGATTTGAGAATTTGGCATGCTCCCTGTCTGGCCAGGTAACTTTATAGTTAACTGGATCTGTAGCTGAATATTAACAGTGATTTCTTAAGCAGTGAATAATGTGTAGGACACCAATATTGAGTTTATTTTATTTTGCATTGTGCCATAAGATTTGGAACTATATTCTTGATTCAGGTATTAATCTTCTTTAGGTTCATGTATACAGTCCTCTGCTTGATGTGAGTTGTAGGTTTAGTAAGCTTCCCCTTTAATAAATAGAACTTTATATGGCTGCAAAGATAGCCTTTGAAAGAGACATCAAGATTAATTTGCTCTAGTTATGTCCCTCTGAGGCCTTAGATGTGTCTGAGAGGTACCTGAAGTTCAGTCCATCGCATCAGCTCAGCTCCGCATGTTAAAAATAAGTGTTAAAAGCTAAGCAGTGAGCAACTGCTCTTTAGCAGGTCCAAATGTGCTACTTTAGAACGGGAAATCTTTTGAGACTGTGGAGGTGGATGAAATCTATTCTGTTTGATGTTATGGTATTTCTAATCGCTTCTGAAGGAAACAGTTTCCAATACTGAATTGCTTGTCGTTATTAGCACTGCAGAGACTACCAGTAGCTACACTGAATTTGGCCTGAGGTAATTTCTCCAAGGACCGACCTTATGCTTTTCTGCCCACTGGCTGATTTAAGAGTAGTTTGATACCTTTGTGTGCAGATGGTATGTTATCAGGGAGAGGGGATGCTAGAGTGGCTCTCAGGCAGAAGAGGGAGTAGGTAGCTTCTCTTGCAAGAATATGAAGTCAATAACAAAAGGAAGGAAGATTACAGTGAACTGTAAAACCAGTATCAGTTACTTCAGTGTCCCATTTTTCAGGTGCAGTACAGTTAGGAATTTTTGGAAGCTTATTTTTGGAAACTGTTTATCATCCTTCCTTGAGGTTCAGGACAGAGGAGAGAGAGGAAGTGAATTTTTTGTAAGAAATTTTCTCCCCTTTAAGAGTGGAAATTATTTTTCTCTTTTTCTGCATGAACTCAACTGGTACACGATGATTACCTGTTCTTGGCTACGTAATTATTGTAAAGGTATTTGGTGTTCCAAAGAAGCTATACTACATCTTAGGAAGTAGAATTAAGGGATCCAGGGACCTCAAAAATTTGCTATAAAGGCTTAGGATGATAGAAGAGATATGTTGGCAGGTTTAATTCTTGCTCAGGAGGGTTCTACATCAGTTGGTGCATTTTGGACTTACTTTTGCTTTTGAAGCTCCTTGTTTATGATTATTACTTTTGCAAAGTTGGAGAAACTTTAGGAATAACTGAAATTTTCAGGAATAGCTGAAAATATTTCCTTGAAGAAATTAAAGAAGTTGGGAAATCTCCATCCTTAAAGACAGTAAAAACTTGGCTGAATAACCTGAGTGACCCATCTTAAATGCAACTGTTTCTATCAGTGAGTTGGATTGACATCCAGATATCTGTAGAATCCTTAAGGTTGGAAAAGACCTCCAAGATCATCAAGTCCAAACCCTGGTAACCTAAATTGTTATGTGATTTTCTGAGTTTCTAGTATATTTTATATGCATAATACTTTTTTGTACAGCTTTCAGGATCAGATGTTGTAACCAGATGCACCCATGAACATTAAATTTGCTATGTCTTAGGGTATACAGGCATTCCTTAAAAATACAATGCTTTTCAAAATTTGAGATCACAGTTACTTTATATTGAATTTCTTTTTGCAAGTGGGATTCATTGCACAAGGGATTGGGGCAGAGTGAAGAAGAGAGACATAAATATATGGTGAGAAGGCTCTGGCAGGCAATAGTTTGAAGAGGCTGAGCTTTTGCCTGGTAGCCAGTTTTGTTAGCTCTTCTGATAACAAAAACAATACCAACACTAATACTCGCTGTGGAAGACATAGTAGTTTTAGAACCTAGTCTCCTTCCAAGAGCACTAAATGTAACCCTAATGTAAGACTGTATAGTGTGGATTTCTGAGAGAAATTATTAAAAAAACACCTGCACTTTCATATGTTTTGCACAGTTCAACAGAGCAAAAGACGTGCCATTTTCTTAATCTCTTTCTAGCTTTCAAACCAACACGAGTTTTCTTTTGACCTTATAGACAGGAGAAAGCAGTAATCAGAATACAAGCAAATATGCTATTGAAGTGGGTTCAGCTCGCTTTCAGCTACAATACATGGATTATTACTTGCTCAGAGAAGAGAGAAATGATCCAGATCCCCGAGTGCAACATTTCATACCAGACACATGGCAGGTAATGAGACACAAACTTTTAGCATGAAGTTAATAGAAATGATCTTTTTTTTGTCTGTCAGACCAAATAATTGAAATAGACAACTTATAATTTGTAGTTCCATTTTTTTTCCACTAACAATTTAAGAGGAAAGAATACAATCATAACACAAGCAAGTTAACTCTGACCCTCTGTAGTCTAAAATCTGTATTTAAATTGTACATACAAAAATAAAAGATGTTTTCACAGAAAGAACACTCAATATGAACTTAATGACAAGATATTTTGATATCTGCTCTTCTCTTAGCGAGAACTTCTTGATGCTGTAGATAATAATGAATCCGCAGTGATTGTTGCTCCCACTTCCTCAGGAAAAACATATGCATCGTACTATTGCATGGAAAAAGTTCTGAAAACAAGCAACGAAGGAGTAGTTGTGTATGTTGCTCCTACAAAGGTAAGGCTGTTTCCTACTACATAGTATGTATGACTATGTCATGATTCTGAAACTGTTTGGGGTAACTTGTTACACAACTTTAGTCGATATATATTTTTTATTAGAAACAATATTTACATTCTGTTTTATATTTACATGCATTAGAGTATGCTTTTAAAAAGTCATCAAAATATTTTGGCTCACATAGAGCTTTTGTCTATTAATATTTGTATAGATAATTTAAGGTCAAAAACATTAATATATAAAAAAAGCTGTAGGTAGCATGTTAGGTAAATAATGAGAGTACCAAAAGTCTACCAATATGATGAAAGTAATATTAGAAAGCAAAAATGACTAAGCAAGTCATGTTTCTCTAATTGAGTTCCAGAGAAAATGTATGAAACTCTAAGTAGTGGGATACTTTTTAGTGAGAATTCCATCCTAATAGTTCAAAACTGATTTAAGTGCTGGGGCATAATGTTTTGGTTTCTTCTAAAATTTATTTTAATGTTCAGTGATATGATTTTTAGGTAGTGAATTACATGTACTGTTATTTGAGAACAATCTCTGTGGATTGTTTTCTGTAAGTAAAATCAAATTTTTTTGTGTTCGTACTCAGGTTGGGTATCAAAATTTCATTCGAATATCAGTCTGGATGCAGAAATGTATTTTAAACATGCAGCCCAAGGACTTTGGGCTTGTAGATGAAGTAAAGTGCTTAAAGTGCTTGTAGATGAAGTAAATGCGCTCTATTTTTAACTGCTTTGAAAATAATTAAAATACAGAATTAATAATGAATAACTCACTTTACACAGCACTAAATTTCTTTGAAAGCATTGGAGTATAATTGAAAATAAAGTACCATATCTTTTTAAAGTTAACATTGGTGAAAGTCTAGACTTAATAAGATGTTACATAGTACATTATAGTCTAGTACATTAATATCAGTGCCAAAATTGAATGCCTTTAAATGTCTCAGACTATCATATATCTTTAGACATACACTCTTTAATTTTGTTAATGATCTTCTTTATTTAAGGCCCTTGTAAACCAAGTGGTAGGAACTGTATACAGTCGATTCACCAAGAAACTTCCAGATGGATTGGCAGTGTGTGGAGTCTTTACACGAGATTATCGCCATGATGTCATGAATTCTCAGGTATATTTTTATGGGTGTTTAACACATAATAATAATAATGACTTCTGTATTCCATCTGGCTTCTGAAAATGTTAATTCTAATTAGAACAGTTGAGCCATTGCTAAGTCAAAAGTTCAGGAAAAATCTATGCATACCTGTACTTAGGTATGTAAATCTGTGGCATACAACCTCACCTCTTCATCATCAGTGGACGTGCAGGTTAAAAGTGGACTTGCTGTGGTTAAAAGAAAAACCATTAAAATCCTTTTGTTACCAGCATACAGAAGATGCCTTATAAATGTCCAGATAGAACATATCAGTAGCTTTTACCTTGTGCACTGATGTAGTCACTTCATTATAGAAGGCCACTAGGCTGGTCTTGCTTGTAATGGGGAGCCCAGAACTGGACACAAGACTTCAGGTATGGCCTCATCAGTGCTGAGTAGAGGGGAAGGATCACCTCCCTTGATTTGCTGTCCAAACTCCCCCTAGTTTGGACTCCTCCTAGTTTCCAGCCCAGGAAATCATTAGCCTTCTTTGCCACCAGGGCACATTGTTGCCTCATGTTTAACTTGGTGTCTACTTGCACCTTCAAGTCCTCTTCTGAAGAGGATTAGACCCTCTTGTTGATCCCTAGGGTACGCCACTGGTTACTGGTCTCAGCTGAATTTTGTATCACTGATCACCAGCCTCTTAGGCCCAGCCTTCCAACCAGTTTTCAATCCACTCACTCTGCTCACCTGGCCCATAATTCAACAGCTTGCCTGTGAGAATCTTGTGGGAGATGCTGTGTGAAGCCTTACTGAAGACAATATCTACAGCTATCCCCACATCTCCCAAGCCAGTCTTTTCATCATATGAGTTGGTGAAGCATGAATTCATGCCTGGTGAATTCATGCTGAATACTCCTGATGACTTTCTTGTTCTGTGTTTGTTTGGAAATGATTTCCAAGATTAGTTGCTCCATCACCTTCCCAGGATGAAGGTGAGTGACCAGCCTGTAATTTCCTCTGTCTTCTTTCTTACCTTTCTTGAAGACAGCAGTGACAAACATGCATTCACTCTTCTTTACCTTGAAATCACATACATACATATTTTTAAATGCTTTTTTAATATAGAATCTGCTTGTTGTTTGCTTGCAAATAATGTTTTGCAAACCTTTCTTCTTAGATACTAGTGACAGTGCCTCAATGCTTAGAAATTTTGATGCTGTCTCCTCGTTGCCAGAAATGGACCCAACGAATACAGTATGTTATATTTGATGAGGTAGGCATCTTTTAATAGTAACCAATTTAACAAATATAAGAAAAACCTTGAGAAAAATGTTGGTGACTCATTTTTTCATTACATAGTTTATTACTGGTAAAAAAACCAGCTTTCAGAAGTATTATTTCAGACTTGTCCTCCAGTGAAAGAACTTAAAACTCTGTTATTCTTCAAGAGGACATACAATTCAATAAAAACTACCAGGAACTTCCTTTATTTCTCTCAAGTCAGTCAACTGAAAAACTAAAAGCCACCACTGTAGTCTCAATGGCACAAATAGAACATACCAGACTGGGATCATACACATGACATATCATACTCTATTGGTCAGACTTTCCAGGGAAGAAGTCAATGATTAATCTTGTTAAATTTAAAATTCCTCCTGTATTGTTTCTTGTAGATGGAATTAATTGCTAATGATGCCAGTGAACATGTAGGGTACAAACAGTAAATGTAGTATTGAAATTTAAACTAATTTGCTATCTAGTTAAGTCTGGAGAGGTATTTACTGAACATTTGATTTGGATCCATGGTCGTTTGCTACAACATAAGGATTATTCAGTTCTCATCTTGCCAAACTTTTGATTTTTGCAAAACACAAAACTCCTGTTATGGATACACGTTCATAAGGAACACTTCTTCTTTTCTTTTAATCCTTTCTCCCAAAAACCTAGGTACATTGTCTTGGTGGTGAAATTGGAGCAGAGATTTGGGAACATCTTCTGATAACAATTCGATGTCCATTTTTGGCGCTCTCTGCTACTGTTAGTAACCCGGAACACCTAACTGAGTACGTGTGGAATTTTATTGCCCATGGGAGCATATTTACATTAGATATGAGCTGTTTTAGATAGATAGGTCAATTAGTATTGGAAAGACAACTGATTTGGAATTACAATGTTATACATATTATGCTACCCTCACTCCCCAATCGACACAAAACTATACTGTAATTCTTAACTTTGTAATGAGAACACACTCTACTTATTCCTTCAGACTCTGTAACTCTGAGCTGTGTGGAGGAATTCAGGAGGCTTTTACATCTGCTTGAATTGCCAAAGCACACTTATCCATCATCAGTCAGAGAAGACTCCTACACTATATATATATGTGTGTGTGTGTGTGTATAGGTACTATTTCACATTTTTTTTATTTGCACCCTGGGATAAGCTGGAGAAAATTGCACTGGAATTGGTGAGAAGGGACTGGAAATTCTATAGGAGAAATTAAGCAGATTGTAGTAACTCATATGTTATAGTTGTACTGATTTTCTTAAAATATATTTTACAAATCTTATTTTCATTTGATTTTTCCACTGTAGGTGGTTACAATCTGTGAAAAGGTATTGGCAACGTGCTGAGAATAAAATAGAAGGAAGCTCTACAAACTCTGAAAAGAACTTTACAAGACAATGTAAAGTGAAATCTAAAGTACAAGAACAAAAGAAATCATATCGTGTTAGACTAGGTGTGTATCGCAATATTTTGTAACTAAGAAATAAACTTTAGTGTGATTTCTGCAAAAACATAAGTCATGGTGTGTAAACTCAAGTGTTTTGGTTTGTTGGTTTGTTGTTGTTTTTTTTTTTTTTTCTTTTGAATAACAATAAACCTTACAGGATTAAATACTTGCTTTTTCAAACAACGAAGTGCAACATGACAACATTTTTGTCTCTTCACAGTCTTGTATGAAGAAAGATACAATGATTTGGAAAAGTATGTGTGTTCTCTAAAGGGTAGCGATTTTACCATTGAACACTGTCATCCATGTGCTGCATTAACAGTCAATCATGTAAGCATAACACTGGTGTCAACATTGCTAAGCAACTATTACATTTAGGCAACATGGATTCCATCAAAATTATTTCTGTATTTTTCTTTTGTTTATACTCCTTGCAGATTGAGAACTATGGCATTCCTTCAGATCTTTCTCTGTCTCCACGAGAGAGCATCCAGCTTTATGACACAATGGCAAAAGTCTGGCAAGACTGGCCAAGGGCACAGGTGGGCATACACAGCTGTAAGCAAAACTTATCAAAATAAATAGATGAAAAAGTACTAGAGTAACAAAGTAATAGATTAAGAACTCTTTAAATTAACATTAAATATTAATATTGTTCCAGGAGCTAGATCCTGAGGAGTTTGTCTCTTTCAAGAATAAAGTAGTAATAAAAAAGGCAGATGCAAGGAAATATGAACAGGAACTGAAGAAAGAACTAAGCGAATGGATTGTGCTTGGCCAAAGGCAGAAGGTAACAGTTGCTAGAGGGCACTTTGTTCAGATTTGTCCAGCTTTAGTATAATAGTAATTATATCTAGTAACATAATTATGGGAGTTTGCCCATATTTCTTACGTTTAACTGTTGCTTTACTTGAAAGATAAGCACTATTTGTAGCATTTTAATAAGCATTTTTAAGGTGATGTTTTCTCATCTCTTGGAATCAGATTTCTGATACTGCTGTGAGATATCAATTCATGATTCCTTTGGGTACCTCCTACAGTTGGTGAGAATATTGTACCTTTGATCTGCTTTTTTAGTCTACTTCTTTTTTGTTGCTTATATGAAACCTTCTGTGTAACATTATGTATGTTCCCATGTAAAAGACAGAAATTCGAGCAATGAGCTGAAAAACATGGTAGCTATGAAAATTCTATTTTGAGCTCTTGCCAAAGTCAGTTGATAACTTTCAGACCTTTTAGTCTGTAAACTATAAGTGACTATTCCAGTTCTGAATGATTTGAAAAATTTGAACTGATAGAATTTTACACAGGAAAATGGAGTCTTTGTATTTGCTAGCTTCCAGACAGAAGTATCTGCCATTAAAATCTCCATAAAACTATTACTTCGCTCAGGTGAATGAACTACTGGAGCACCTTAAACCAAAATCTGTGGATTGCTCAGAACAGCAGAAGTGGGAACATTTTGCAAACTTTGTTGATAAATTACATGAGATGGATAAGTTGCCTGCCATATTTTTTATGTAAGTATGTACATTTCATGTATTATATGTGTATTGCCTATATTCAGAAAAATGAGTATGGAGATAGGCATTGATAAGCAAATACCATTTACATGGTATTTATTACCTTTGCCTTAAAAGTGAAGGTCTATCAACCCATGTATCTTTATGGCACTGAAGTTTAGCTGAAATAAAACTGGGAGCATTTAATTACTGTGTGGAAAGGGTAGAATCCATGCATGATGTCTGAGAAACTTACAAGAAACTTAATCACATTAAAATCAGATTCTCCATTGCTTTGCTCTGGTGTAGTCAGTAAAACTTGTGGAAAGTGTATGCTGTCTATTTAGAGGTGGAAATGATTTATGTAAAGGCCAATTTGCCAAGCAAAAGGGTGAGATGTGATTTAGTTAATGTATTCGTTTGTTACATGGTGATACTCCCACTGCATAACCTCTAAAAATCACATCTTACATCCAGTGACAATGCATCAATCAACCTGGTTTGTATATATGAGGTGTAATTATGTAATATCAAACATGCACAACTTTTATCATATTGATAATACCATTATTGTCAATGATATTGCTTATATTAGTAAATTAGGCATGTACTTCAATGCTGGACTTAATAAAAATAAGCTACTTATCAGTAAACAGCTGTCTAGTGCATATGTTTGCTGTAATAATGCACTGGAACAATCATGTAAATATGGAAAGTTTGCTCATCTCAGTATAAAGCCTTGCCTGTCCTTGCATTAGACACTAGGATTAGCATACTCACTGCAATTTCAGTCCTCACATGCTTATGTGAAGATGAAAATTTTGCTCCTGATCTTGGTGACTGACAGATTTGAATGTGAATATTCCAATGGGTTTGAATACAGCCTCACTGTATGTGTTGCCAGCATCTTGTATGGTTTTAATTAACATTATCCACCTGAAGCAAGAGGAATGAAAAAAATTCTTTTTGAGAGTGAAGCTGGAGAAGTCTTCATCCCAGTTAATCTCCACGGTCCAACAGTGAAAAAGCTATGAGGAAGAACAGCCATGTGGAAGATGAGGACAGGCACCGATTCTCAGTTGGGTAGTTTCGAAGAACTAAAGTGACTTAAGCTGCAGTTTACTTTATGTCCAAGTGTCCATCTTAGGGAAACATAGAGTTGAGCATACTTCCTGTAGATAATTTATTGGTAGAACCATTTTACCACTTGGTTTCGTAATAATAGCTGTTTGAAAGAGAATGTAGAGTATGTTGGACATGAAATAGGGATCAGCTTCTAATGTTTAGATTCTAACTATCATCAGATGATAGGGCTCATTGAATATTATTTTAACAGCATTACATATAAATTGTAATAAAACTGTATTAGAGTTCACCTATCTGATGTATATTATATATTGTTTACTTCAAGATTTAACATCCATTCAGTCGAATGTGCAGCCATGACTGTATTCTCTAAATTGCTGGAAAAACAAGAAAGTATACAAGGTCCAGATCCTGAGAGGGAAGAAGAGCATTTAAGGGAAAAACTAAGAAAAGTGACCAAAATGCTAACAAAATTCCCTGAGTAAGTGTTATAACAAGATGTTATTAAAAAGCTTACGTATTATCACAAAATTACACTCTGTCATAACTTTTTTCTGGGGATTGCACCTTTCAGCAGCACATCCATCTAGCTTGAGGAATAGTAGTCCTGTTCTTCTTTGTGCTCTAGGACTGCACGCTGCTGGAGCAGCCGAGTGGCAGGTATCAACATATCAGAACAGCTCTTTTTCCAAACAGTAAGTTTAGTCGTACAAGTCCTAAAAACAGTGTAGCATTTGACCCTGCTTCTGGGTCAGCCACTGTGGGAGAATATTTTCATAGTTTAGCCTCACCAGGGTAGTGGAACTATGAAATACAGGTTCACCAAATGGTGAGATCCTATTTTAATATTTGTCAGCCTTTTGTTTGGATTGTACTGTATTTTCCCCCCCTTAACCTTTCATTTTATTAATTTTATGATCATAGAGTATGGATTTTATAAGACATTTGGGAGTGAAATATGGCTATAGTTATCAGGAATTTCAAGAACATAAAACATCTTCATTTTGTCCTCCTAATGACAATTTACAGTGCATTCTTTGGACATAATATCATGGAAGAATGAACTTAGCTGACTTTAAATTCCTACTGGATTTTCAAGTTCTCACTTACTACTATTAGACACATATTTAGACATTGAAGTACCTTAAAAATTTGCCCTTAAATACTCTTCCCTCCCCTCTCTTCTTCAAATCCTGTCCTAAATCCTTGCCGCTCATGACATTATTGGCAGTAAATCCATCATGTTTTTCTTTTAATTCTTCTCCTATGAAATCTAGTTAGCTTACAAATTTGCTAATTGAGGTACTTATAGTCTCTGTCTTTATCTTCCTTAATTTTTGTCCTTTCTACTTCACCCCGAATTACTTGCAGTTTTTCATATGAGCCATGATAAAATGAAGCTGTTAGCATTATTAGTATTCACATTAACATATATACCTACAAGTTTGAGCCTACAGTTTAAAAGGGAATGAGTCTGCATCTTTCAGTATCCAAAGAACATTTTAAAATTGAGAAATATATGTTAATTACAAAAAAATATATTTTAATTGTATATTTTACATAGGGATACCAAAAAGTTGAGCCCTCATAAAATGAAAAGCATGGAACTTCTTTCAACTAAAAAAACCAACCTAGAAATAAGGCTTAAAACACTAACTACTATCCCTTCTGTGTGTACTTACGCTGACCATAAAGCAGTGGATGAAGATGTAAGTAATTCACTGATAATTCTAACTTGGTTTTATTTTTGTATGTCTAAAATGTGTGAATTCATGCATAAATGCGTAAAAAGCATATAATGATGCGGTTGTACTTTATAACAGCATTCATTGACTTCAAGAAATATTCTGAATATTCCCATTTAAATGTGATTCCAATCTTAGATAACTTTAAGATGTATGGACAACTTTCATTCTGCCAAATAAAAAGATGTTGACTTCTTGCGATAGGAATCCTGGGATGTAAAATACAGTTAATTCACTTCCATGAACTTCCAGCAATGCAGTTCTATTACTTATTGACTCCTGTTTTTCTGAATCATCAACATAGTGTATATGGCACATTTGTGTACTTAACAAAAGATTTTTCAGACCTTCATATCTTGTAAAAATACTAAATAATAATTTTTTTTAGACTCCAAAAATTCTAGTCCTCACAAAGCAAAATTTTCTTTGCTTTTCAATGTGTTTATGTCTCCCAAGGAAAGGAGAGATGAGAAAACCATTGAAAATCTGCAGGTGTTCATCAGAAATATTAATGTATATATTTGGATAGAAATAATTAATGAATAATTAATGAAATATATTTATATGAGGTTGTTTTCACCAGTAGTGGGTGCCTGGGCCTTGATCCAAGAGATTCCCTCTGGTCTAAATTTTGTAAAACATGGCTGTGGTTCATATAGCTGTCTCTTCATGGAGCAAATGTAATTGTGATATTTATAGCTCTTAATTCTTAATTTGATGAAGTGTCTTGATAATACTTTCTGCTTATTGTGATTTGTCTTGAAAGAGGAAAATTGTGTGCATTGGGATCAAACTCTTGATGCCTTATCTTGGGAACTTTTAAGTCTAATAGCATTTTTGGACTGCTGTGAGCTGATGTGGAAGGAACACTGCTTCCCACAGTAGCACATGGGTTAAGGCAGTGAAGAAGTAGCTTAAACTTCAGAACAGATAACACTTAGAGTGAAGTTCAGAAAATACAGAAAAATTAATAACACCTGGTTATGCTTAATACTTTTGTGGTTTATACTTAACATTTGTTTATTTGTAGACTTTGAGGAAGATTTTTCATCGTCTTAGGTTTGAGAGAAGAGGTTATCTGCAGGAAATGATGGCACTGAGGGGAATTGGGTATCATCATGCATCTATGTCCGCTAAGCAAAGACAAGTAGTGGAGATGCTTTTCAGGCTGGGATACGTGAAGGTTGGTGAATTGGGATCAATTTTTTTTTTTTTTTAAGGTCTTAGTTTGTCCATGCATTTAATTTTGAAATATAGTGTACCTTTCACTAGTGGTAAAATATGTTGCATTTACACACTAAGTGCCACAGCCTTTTCCTCATCCTTTGCCTTTATGTTTCCCCCCAATTCAGTAAAGGATGGAGATTCTTGTTAGTCCTCCTTTTGTTGCTAATGTATTTATAGAAACATTTTTTGTCTTTCATTGCAGCAGCCAACCAAATGTATTTTAGTTAAATGAAGTCTATAGGTTTATTATATATTGTACTGTCTTCATGAAATATTTCAATTTGTGTTCAATTCCAATATTATTGCAATTTATTAGTTATTTCAATTTTCATAATAGATATGGTATAACTTTCAGGATAAAAAGTTTAATATGCAAATGTAATAACTATATGAATTACACTAAAGAGTGAAATTCCTTTACGTTCATAGCTTTGTTAAATTCACCAAATTAAAGCATGATAGATGAGAAATTTTAGCATTATATGAGAAATTAAAGCAAAATATGAGAAATTATAGTAAAATTCCTGTTGATTTAAGTTGAATATTACAGGCGTTGTTTTTTTTTCTTAAATTGAATATTGCCATTTCTAATAGATACACTCATGTTTGATATTTTATAGGTAGTCACAGCTACTTCATCTCTTGCTCTGGGAATCAACATGCCATGTAGATCTGTTGTCTTTGCTGAAGATTCTGTCTTTTTAGATGCCTTAAATTACAGACAGGTATGGAAATAAAACACCCACTTTTTATTGCAAGAACACTATACAGGTGTACTACAGTGTGTAGTCAAAAGACCTATTTCAGCAATTCAAAGATTACAATTGCTGAGTGAAGTAAAGGCATATATTTGGCTTTTAGTTATGGAAGCTGGAAAAACAAAAGCTGTTTGGTTCTAGCCAGGGTTTTACACTGTAAGAACATACAGTGGGATTGTAACAATGAAAGGAAAGATTGTTGACCGGATTAATGGGGACATTTGAGTTCTTTCTGTCTTGGAAGTGGCCCTCCACAATGCAACACAGCAGTGTGGAGGTGAGATTGCAAATGCAACAAAGCAGAATGTCTCTACTCACGGCACAACTTACTAGGTGGGTTGAGAGACTCTAACCTCTTCATCAGCACCTGTTTCCTGCTCCTGTGCTACTTTTCAAACCAGTATTCATGAAATACTGCCAGTGTGAGTGGATCTGTACTATATCTGGACCTATGTGCATCTCCCTTCTGCTGCACATATATATATATATATGACTCCAGCTTTATCACATCATCTGGTACAAGGGGCCAGACAAAGGATAGGTGATCCAAGCAAGAGAATATACCCCTAAGAAGGTTCTCCCTGCTCTTTTTTTATATTCTCTGCTCTTTATTCATTCTGAGACTACCTCTGCTCCAAATCTACTCAGAAATTATTTGGAACTAAATGTAACTTGAAAACAAAGCTAGTGTATAGATATAAATAAAGTTAAAATTTACCTTGAAGAAAAATAAATGTTAAAATGACATTTTAGAGAATTTAAGTATCCTGGCCAGTGTTTAGGTCTTCCATTAAATTTGGAAGTTCATATTAAAAAAAGTAAAGAAACACACCACTTTTGTAAACCAGCTAGATTTGAGGTACAACATATTTTGCACACATTATTTTAATAATTCTGCATAAATGCTTTATTAAGACTGTATAGATGGTATATACAAGTTAGGTATTTTTATTTAAAAATTAATAATGTTATTGTATTAATAATATGATTAATGAATATTTTATTCTCAGATGTCAGGGCGTGCTGGAAGACGGGGACAAGATATGATTGGAAATGTGTTCTTCTATGACATCCCACTGCCCAAAGTTGAAAGACTTATCAAATCCAATGTACCTCAGTTGAAAGGCCAATTTCCTCTGACTATTTCCTTAATATTGAGACTCATGCTGTTGGCTGCAAAGGCTGATGACAAAGCAGATGCTAGAGCAAAGGTTTAATATGTTTTTTTCTTAACTTCAATATAATTAAATACTGTTTCCTTAACATGAGCAGAAAGTTATGCACTTCACAAGTAACCAGCCTGCCCCAAATGAAATGGTATATTCTGCTATAACTGCTTCTAGTACCTGTGCCATCTTCTCCACAGTATTCTGCTGTCCATTGTCATGCATTTATTCTTTGCAATAAATTTTATCATCAGAAAGAATGCCACTAGCAGCAAAGTAATTTTATCAGCTTTTGTTCTATGCAGTATTTGCATTAAACCGGAGAATCAGCAAGTCTTCCAATATTTAAAATTTTAGTTGTATTTGAAGAAAAGATGAGAACATATATTTCCATAGGGAAGATAGGTGCTATGAAGTGCTACCTCAGTTGAAACAATGAGGGAATTCTATATATTGCTAACTTGTTTAAATACACATACTAACTATCTGTAATCAAAGAATTCTTATTCTTGCCATTTAATGCAGTGATTTAAGTAAACAACCCATAAAGATTACAAATTGGTCAGAGATCTCCTCTTGTAAGTGTTAAGGAACTCTTACCTCCAGATGATCTGATTTTTACATCCACTTCAGCATATAGACATTTATTTTTGAGAACTCAATGAATGAATTCAGACATAAGAATTCTTAAGATAACAATGGAGATTGGTAAACTTCTGTGTTAAATATTTATTATGTTCAAAAGGTATTATAGTGAAAGGAGTAATTTCAAAACTTCCTGGGTTTAGTTTACTGATATTTAAATCCTTGTCTTTTAGATCTCTGTATGAATTTAATGTAATTAACTTTACAAACCCCAGCATGCATTTTGAAAATGAGCGTACATTTGACAGAGGATAGACTTTTTCACTAGCATTTCCAAGAGTTAGGCATTCAATTTACATAAAATTTAAATAACCTCTACATAGCATTTTTTATCCTGAAAACCAATTGATAAACAAAGCATAAAAGCTGGATATTCATTTTTTTTCTTGTTACAATATCAACATTCCTTTGGATTTCTGATTTCTGGGTTTTTTTACTTTCTTTTTCCTTTTTATTTGACCAGGCTTTGTCAGTGTTGAAGCATTCACTGATGTCATTCAGAAAAGAAAGATATGCTGAAATATTAAAAATTTATTTTGTGTTTTCCTTGCAATTTCTTATCAAAGAGGTATGTTTTGACTTGTTCCCATAAAGGATAGTTTTTCTTAAATCTACAGATTCTTATTTGTTTATATTTGCATGCTTTAATTTAAAGAACCATATACTTTTTATTTCATAGCAATAGGCTATTTCTTTCTGTTACAAATTTAAGGAAACAGATAAAATTCTTAACCTCTTAAGTTTGAGGTTAATTCTGAGCTACTTATGTTATGGAATAAATTCAATATGGTATGGTCTGTAAGATTACAAATAGATTAGGAAAGTTAGAGTTGTGCACTTATGTTATGTATGAAAATGCCTGCATGTGAAATGATAGGAGTTTAAGACATACTAAGGATGACATGATTTCCAAAGCAAAAGTTTAGAAAGTAGACCTTAGATAAGACTGAAAATTAGTTGTACATCTCTCCATAGTAATAGTTTTAAGTTCGGTGGATACCATTTTGGAAAACTTTCATGCATGACTCCATTTTGGCTTACAGCTGAGGACTACAGGCAGTAAGTGATTACATTAACAAATCATCTGTGCCCAGGTTTCCAAGTCCTGCTCCTAGTATGATTCCTAACTAACATTTCTGCCTCTTCTGGGTGTCTGCTGTTTTTGAGATGAGGGGTCTGATGCTTCTGTTGAAGAGAAGAATCTGATCAATGTGCAGGAGTTCAGTAATGTTTCCAAAAAGTTACAGTTAGCATAAGAACTGGACAAAGCCTGGCCCACACACCTAGTATCCTGTCTCCAATAATTAGTGTATTAAAAAAAAACAACCGTATGATGATTCTCTGAATACTCTGTACTTGCTTACAAGGCATAATGCAGACTGATCTTTCATAGGAGAGCTGTCCTGGAATTTAGAGCCTTTAAAGGAGTTTTAATCCATGAGCTTGTCCTGTTGCTTTTTAAAACTATATAAGCTTCTAGCATCCAAACATCTTGCAGCAAAACATTTGACAGAACACTGCTTGCTGGGCTTTTATCTGGTCAAACATTTAGGTTAATAGTTTTCTCTTTAATGCACATTGCATCAGGCCTTACTTTGATGATTGTGTGCACGTTTCATTTGCAACATGATCTAAATCTATAAGGTCAAAATCTATACTTGCAGAAATTTTTGCCTTTCACTGTAAATTCAGTAGTCTCAATAGGTACCTATACATTAGGCTGAAAGACTGTTCTGAATATCACAATTGTATATTTTTGTTGTATCTAATTTCATCTTTTACAACTAAGCTATTTTTTTTTGCTTTCAAATTAAATAGGGCTACTTGGATCAAGAATGTAACCCCATAGGATTTGCTGGACTTGTGACACACTTGTACTATCATGAACCTTCAAATTTCGTTTTAGTGAGCTTTCTTGTGAAAGGTTTATTGCACAAATTGTGCCAGCCAATTAAAGGTAAATAATACTCCATTCAAGTTAATTGCAATCTATGGCAGGCTCTGTAACCTCGATGATACTGGGTACCTTCTTGCTGCTGCTACCTTTTGCTTGCCTCACCTTCATCTTCAGATCCTTGACCTCTGCCTCTACACACTCTGTGTATGCTTATATTTCTGTCTGAGAAAGCCAAGGCACACATCTGGCAATGCTGGTATCATGAACGTATCTTTGCTGTTTGTGAAACATTCTGGTGAGGTAAGAAGTAATGCCATACATAGAAAAATTAATAATTCTGACTCCAGAGTTAGATTTTAGTTCTATCAAGCAAATAAAATGGATGACTCCTCTGAATATCAACAAATCAAAAAAGTAAGTACTACTAATATCTCATTACCTGAGTTAAATCTATTGTGTGCACTGAGATATGGTACAATATGTTAACATATAGGAATACAGTAATGATTTGTACATACTATTAGTTGCTTAATTATCTACCATGATCTACTACTATCTATTTTGTATCTCATGAGTTGATCTTTATCCAACATAGTTTTGCAAAACCTCTGTCCTGACAGCTGTTATGGTCAAAGAAACTCCTGAATGGGAGTTTATTGTAAGCAAAAGAAAAACAACAGCACATAATTTTTTTTTACACTTTCATATTTAACCCAAGCACTTTCTGTTTTGACACAGACTCAACTGTTTTTTCAGAAGATGTCATGGAAAAGCTGGTTCTCATTCTAGCAAACTTATTTGGGAGAATGTATCTTCCAGCCTGCTCAATGAAATACAAACGCCAATTTTCCCAGTCAAAGGTAGAGAAAGCATTTGTCTTTACTGTAACTTGTGTTGTGTACCACTTCAAACAATTTGTTTCCTTTTCTCAGTTAGACTGGTGTCCTTATGGATGTACAGCGGCTTGGTGCTGCCCACCCAGATGCTCTCTTACTCCTCCATCTCAGCAGGCTGTTGGAGAAAATAGTATGGAGGAGCTCGAGCTCATGGGTCGAGACAAGAAACGGAGATTGCTTACCAGTTATGATCAAGGGCACACCAGCCTTAACTTGTGGAAAATGAAATCAATTTGGTGCCAATTAAAATGGATTTTGGTAGTGAGAAACAAAAAATAAAAATTTCAGCAGCACCTTCCCCTGCCTCTACCATCCCCAGGCTCAACTTTACTCCTTCATTCCTGACTCCTTTACCTCTCCCTTACCCCAAGCAGTGCATGGCTGATAAGAAATGAGAAATGAGCTGTGGTCCATTTTTAACAGCTCTGTCACTCCTTCCTCATCCATGTCACCCCTGCTCCAGTGTGAGTCCTGTCTGTGGGCTGCAGTCCTTCAGGATAAACGTGCTCCATTGTGGGTTCTCCATGGGCTCTAGTTCTTTCAGAAAACATTCAGTGGCTCTGGTGTGGGGTTCTTCACAAGCTGCAGTGTAGGTATCTGCTCTGGCATGGTCCTCTCCACAGAAATGGCCTCAAGGAAGTCTCTGCTCCACTGTGCTCTCCTCTATAGGCTGCAAGGGAATCTGCTTCATTACTTGGAGCACCTTCTCCCCCTTCTCACTCTGCTAGAGTTTTGTCTCCATCTAGGGAGCTGAAGCTTTTTGTGACACATACCAGTGATCCAGAAGGACACCAGCATGCTCTGTGGTATATGACACTGTAGGCTTAAGGCTTTTTCAAAAAATGGGACAGTATTAGTAGGATGAGCATTACCATTAGTTCTGCACAAAGTTACTCACCATGGGTGCAGGCAGGGAAGTGAAACATTTATAAGGTGCTGCTGTTGGCTCTTCTACGCAAGGCCTTAAAATGTTGGAGAACACACCTATGGCTGGAACAACAGAGGAAACTTCTTCTGTATTAGACTGTTTATGTGGCCAGTTTCCAGCGAGCATTACAAGAGAAAAAATGTTATTTATTTCTGAGAAGTGGTTAGTCATATAGGAGGGATTACAGGACTGTTATGGCTAATGGCAGCCATCAGTCTGTCATTTTGGCAGGGAAACCTGTTGAACACCAAGATAGACAAAACAAGATCTGAGAAAGGCAGCCCTTCAAAAGGCCACTTATAACTAGACAGAAACATCTTTAGTAAAGCTGTTTGCCAAGTACCCTGTAAGGAATTTTATACTTACTGTTTATCTTCCATGCCTTTTCTGCTTGAAATTCATGTTCATCTTTAAGGTCTGTTAATTCCAAATGTCCAGGCAGTGTGACAAGCTGGGTAAAGTTTGAAATTGCACACTTCCTTTCTTTCTATCAATATGCTCTGTGTGTACTAATATTTTATGTATGGAACAATGTAGAACTGACACTTTTGGACAAATCACCTACATTAAGCAATGAACTGCATGTTATTTAAGGTCTTCCTAGAAGATCTACCAGAAGACTTTGCAGATGCTTTAAATGAATACAACGCCAAAGTACAGGAAAATTTTGCTCATTTTCTTCTGACAATTGCCAAGCTGGCTGATATGGAACAAGAATACAAACTTCCACTGTCAAAGACAGGTACGAAGTGAAAAATTAATGCATGTTTATAATTTGTGAAATTGTATTAGGAAGATAAGGTTAATTCTCATGTTGTAAAGAAAAAACGTATGGCTTGAGATACAGTAATAAAGACCTACAATTTCTATTTCACTTTTGTTTTACAAGTATTACCAATTAATTTGTATGTGGCAGAAGTTTTGTACAGAGAAAGGATCATTTTAGTTGCTATTCTTCCATTATTCTGTAGGGGGAAAAACCAAAGGGACTATAAAAGAAAAAAAAACTAAGTAAAATTATTGAATAAAAGCCTTTTTATCTGATCATGAGTGCATTTGCAGATCCTCAAATACCTAGAACACTTGAATTGCTTTCAGAATCTTACCAAAGATTAGATTTTCAACATCTGAACAGCCTTAAGATTTAAGTATCAATTAAAGAACATAATATTTTTTTTAAATTAACTGAGTTATTTATGCCAATAAGTGATATTCAGTAAGAAAAGCAATATGAAAAGGCAAGCAAATTACCAAGCAATATAGATTGCCGTTGGGTGAAAAATATTTAACTACTTTATAATCTCAAATTATTTTCTGGAAGACAGATATTAAAGCAATGTAATATACCACTATCCCATTGTCTAGCTCTAAAAAAACGTGCCTTCAAAAATACTATTTTTGCAATAAGAAAGCACTTCAAATATAGGACGTCCTTTATTCTGTCCTTCAATGTAAGACAGAATAAAAGATGAGGGTAAACTAAGTCTTCTAATGGTAACATTGCCTTTGTTTTTGGCATAACTTTTGGCTACAGATGAGCCAAGAAGAAAGGTTTAAGTTGCAAGGAGGGAGATTGAGACATAGTAATTCTTACTATTAGAAAGCTCTTTCTTATACACTATAATCAGCTACACAGAAGTTCTCGTGAACAAAATAAACAAAGATATATCAAGAAGGATTTAAGTTTGGAACATTAACTCTATTTCCTGTCACTATCTACTGCACTGAAAACTTACCACTTTCAAACTAGATTGCTGAAAAGGGGTTTGTGTCTCAATAGCTTATGTTGTATATGAAACTCTTTGTCTAGACTTTACATCTCAGAATTGGCACAGCTCTGAACTAGCATCTTATTTGATGGACAACACCAAAAGCATATCTGCCATCTCACCTTTTGCATGTTTATCTGGAGTGGTTGATAATGATCTATTTCATGAGAACATCATTAATAAAGTAAGTTATTTTTTTCATGGGGGCTAGAATTTTATTGGAGTTCAATAAAGTATTTGTTTAATCACAATCTTCTTCCCTCTGTCTAATATGATAGCACTATTTGCAAGTGTCACTCTTTAGGAGAAATAATTCAGAAAGTGTCAAAAAATAAATATCCAGCATCAAGTAGCACCACATTGTCACAGTGCAAAAATCACAGAATAGATGGATGTAGGAAAAAAAATCTGTAAATATTTTGCTTTCTTACAAGGTCTCCATTGCTTTTGACTCTCAGACAAGTAAAATACTCTAAAATTTCAAACCATATCCCCATATTGTTTTCTCCATGTCAGGAGTTTTCATTTCTCTTTTTAAATCAACCACACAGTAGGCTCAAGGATCCTAGCGAATGGATGCAATACGGCATTGATTGCTTTGTAACTAGAATTGTGTTAGATAGCACATGAGTTAGCTTAATTCTAATATACACCAACATATTTACTGTCGACTTGCATTTTCCTGTGTTATTCTACATGGGCTCTGCAGTATTAGGGAATTAACACAACTCATAATTCTGTAATAGTAAAAAATTAAATTCCTACAACTGGAGATTTGAAATTCACCTTCATCTTTAAAATGTTCCATGTTTAAGTGTAATTAATGAATTCAAAGCATCAATGAATCTTAATAGATGATCTATGCATATGGAAAAATCCTAATCTAAAACTCAAGAGAAATAAAGTTGCCTAGTTAAACTCTAAATTACTCAGAACACTCCATAGCTGCACTAGCAGTTTAAATCGCATTACTAACAAACTCTCTCCTGTGTCTGTAGTCGAACATGTACTTGTGCAGATTTTTGGACTGGATTAGAAGTGTGGAACTTTTCAGCTGTGGGTCTAAAGGTGTAGGTTTGACAAAATAGGCATATAAACAAAACCACAGTATCTATTCAATAATATTTTTTGGTTTTAGGCTGTCTTACGTTCTCTTGGAGTTAATGTCACAAACTGCCCCCTGCTTTATTTGAACAAGTATGATAATCAGGGAAGGAGGAGGCCACTCAATGCATATGCACTGGACTTTTATAAGCACGGTTCCTTGACTGCATTGACAACTGATAACTGGTATGTACTACCATTTAAAAAACTGTTAAACATTACAATATGGTACACAAGTTCATCTTTTTGATTTTAAAGCCTTCTCCCTCCAGACTTTAGGGATGAAACAGCTGTTAAATGTGATTAGTCAAATGTTTTAATAGGAATAAACCAAACTGAAGTCTAATGGCAATGGCTGTAAAATATTATCCGGCTATTCAAAATAGGACCATAAGTGGGAAGTCTTGACTTCAGCAACACGAGTAATTTTGACAGGCTCTTCACGACATTTTTTATTTAATCAAGCCTTTTTTTCACAATGAAAAAGAAGAGTCCCTGAAATGAGGAAGTCCAATGCAATAGACCAGAAGATGGTAACACAGGAGCAGAGAGGTGTCAAAAGCTTGGTCAAATAATATAGAAACAGATTAATGAGTGAATGAATGATCAGTGTCAAAAGACACAGGCATCCAAAACACAAGCTTGGACAAAATTTGTCAGTAATTCAGTATTTGTATTAGTGTTGCTTCAAAACTTCCCTTTCCCTAATTTTTTCTAAGCATTTAGCAACTTGGCCTGATAAATCCATCATACTAGGATTTCTCTTTAAAGAAAACAAAAGCAAAACCAATGTACAACCATACACTAAAAAAACCTCTTTGCCCAAGCTGGCCAACCACTGCCATATGGAATCATATTTTCATGTTTAAGTCTGTGGCACATGCAGTCTTCCTCTCTTCTTTTTGCCTGGATCACTTACACTGCAGTTTTTCCAAAACTGGAGTTTTAATATTTACTTTTAGGTTGTCTTGCCTGTATCTTTTAACACTGATCATTCACTTTAATCTGTTTCTGTATTATTCGACCAATCTTTTGACATCTCTCTGCTCCTGTGTTACCATCTTCTGGACTACTGCATTGGACATCCTCATTTCAGGGACTTCCCTGTTCTTCACTGTGAAGAAAACCTTGATTACATAAAAACCCCCTGAAAGTTCTGACAAGCCAGTCAAACTCTTACACTTGATACAGCTCCTAAAAACTAACCTTTGACACTCTTTCACCTCCTAATTAAGCAATTTATACACTGCATTAGTCTTCTCAGAAGCTAATTTTTTTCTTTATTTTGCTCTTGCCGTTTACAGTCCTGTTGTCCTCTTCAAACTTTTAGAGACGCACTTGCTAAATGTTATGTGTAATTTTCATCATTATTGATTTTGCCTTTGATCCTCACTGGCCTTCTGTAACCTCATTCATTAAATCCATCTCTCTATAAAATGTCTAGATTTCAGTTCCTAATGAAGCCATAACTGTTTTATTTCCAACCCTGGCTCAAAAAAGCTCAACCACAAGCTCCCTCTCTCAGCTCCTCTTATCAAGTATCTTAATTTTGCCGTCATGCTCATAGCCAGTAACTTTTGAGTAAGAGAATACTACCTCACCCCGGGGGTGCTGTTGGGAACTTAGAATATTATCTGCTTTTTTGTAAACTCTTCAAAGCAGATTCTAATCAGAATAATTAGAATACACATTCCATGCACTGTTATGGTTACAATAGGAGAGTTTGGCATTAATGCCACATTATCGAGACACATGGAAATATACCAATTATAGTATCACGTTCTTTGATTCTATCAAGCTGATCTAGTAAAATATGTCCATGCCCATAGCAGGGGAGTTGGGACTATAGAATCTTAGAATGGCCTGAGTTGAAACGGACCTTAAAGATCATCTAGGTCAAACCCCCCTGCTATGGGCAGGGACACCTTCCACTAGACCAGGTTGCTCAAAGCCCTGTCCAATCTGGCCTTGAACACCTCCAGAGATGAGACATCCACAGGTTCTCTGGACAGTCTGTTCCAGTGCCTCACCACCCTCGGATAAAGAATTTCTTCCTAACGTCTAATCGAAACCTACCCTTTTTCAGTTTGAAGCCATTCCCCCTTGTCCTATAACTACAGTTCCTGGCGAACAGTCCCCTTCTGTCTTCCCCGTAGCCCCCCTTCAGATACTGGAAGGTTGCTATGAGGTCTCCATGCGACCTTCTCCAGGCTGCACTGCCCCAATTCTCCCAGGCTGTCTTCACAGGGGAAGTGCTCTAGTCCTCCTATCAATTTCGTGGCCCTCCTCTGGACTTGCTCCAACAGTTCTATTTCCTTCTTATGTTGGGGACCCCAGAGATGGATGCAGTACAGCAGGTGTGGTCTTACAAGAACAGAGCACTAGGGCAGAATCCCCTCCCTTGACCTGCTGGCCACGCTGCTTTTGATGCAGCCCAGGATACGATTGGCTCTCAGGGCTGCGAGCACACATTGGTGGGTCATGTTGAGTTTTCATCAACCATAACCCCCCCAAGTCCTTCTCCGCACGGCAGCCCTCAATCCATTCTCTGCCCAGCTGGGATTTGTGCTTGGGACTGCCCTGACCCAGGTGATCAACTAGATGATCTTTAAAAGTCCCTTCCAGCCCAAACCCTTCTATAATTCTAGTATTTCAACACAATATTGATTAAAAAAAAAAGTGCTATTCTCAATTACTAGAAACTGAGTTTATTGAGTTCCTTTATAGTAATCAGTGGTCCTTTTTGCAAAGTATAGGATCTTCCTCATTGGTAGAAAGCTTACACAATCTCCTGCTCAGTTTAGCCAGCAGGTTCATCTGAAATATAGTGTTCCAGTTTAGCTTGTGACAGGTTTGTTATTCCAATACTTGAAACCATGCTCCAAATATAATATTAATAAATTATCTTTTCTAATATTACTGAGTCTTGTATGTTTAATATAATTATAGAAAATATATTAGCCTCTGCAGCATTATTAAGCTTATATTTTTTCTCCACTGATCCTAATGAACTAATGTCAGTGTTAAGAGGTCATGCAATGTGCTCTCTGCATCCTTACCCAACCCACATAGCTCTGTTTATTAAAGGTGAAACAGTTATAGTGCATATTCATTTGATTATTTCTTTTTATTTCTTCAGGTTAAATGAAGGAGATGCTTACTACGCCCTCAAAGATTTTTCACTCCTCATTAAGTCTGTTGGGTATGATGAACTTGTGCTTTTTAGAATACAATATATATTTCATTTTAAAAGCAACTTAAAATGTAACAATGATATTTTTTTTTTTTTTAAACCAGAACAAGTCTGAGTGAACTATGTGATGATCCAAATGATAATGTTCTACTGGCATTTAAACAACTGGGCGAAAAATACGAAGAGAAACTGAAGCGTATTACTTAAAAAAAACCAAACCCAAAGCAGCAGATATTCTTACCAGAGATAGCAGCCTCTAGGTTAGAAAATTACTAGATCTGAGTTACCAAGTAAAATTTCAGAATAAAGCTTTAGTTAATAATCAGTACTAGTAATAAAAAGTTTACTTTAGGAAGCTAACCTTTACCAATTGACATTTTAGCAGCTCTAATGTCAACTAAGTAATATTTTTAATAAATTACAAACCTAAGTAATTATACATTATCTTTCAGTTGCACTTTTTTTCAGGCAGTGGCATATGTGTTAAGATAGCTCTCAGATATGTACTGAACAAATGTCACAGTTCTGACAGCTGGTGAGATTAGCCTCTCAATAGGACAGTATTAGAAACTTTCAGCACCTTTGTGAAGGATGTTCAGCAATTATAAAAGAAATTGTTCTGTTTTCCAAGGTTTCTATTTAATCATGAATAGTACTATCTTCATGAACCATTATAAAAGCTTTTAAACTGGTCTGCAGTTTTAGTTTACAAAATTTTAAACAGATAGAAGGTTTTATAAGAGAACACGGAAGTTTGATTAATAAAAAGTTCCAACCACATTGCTTCATTTTTCACCTCTTTAAGAGTCAGAAAGATCCAGGACACTTATGGCATACTTGTCGACGGAACAGAGAGATTTCTCTGAACAATTTTTCCTGCACTCTGTAGGCTTTGCTTGCCATGGAAGTGACAAGCATGTATTGTTTATACTTATAGACTGTGTGAAAATATGTGATGTTTATACTTGTTAGCTGTATGTCTAATTATAAGGTTTGAGAACATAATATGTTTATAGTAAGAAAACCTTGAGAACCTAGAGATAAAAGTACACCTGTAGATCTAGGAAAACCCCCTAAAAGCAGATTAATTAGAAAGAGGTTTCTATGCCAAGAATGATTTCAGGTCACCGGGACAGAGCCTCAGATCCAATAAACTGAGAGCACGAGACGCGTGCACAAACTGAGCTATCCAATCATCTTGTTGTGAGCATGTACCCTGAGCAAACTAGACTGTATAAATTTAACTGATTTAAATAATAAATTGGACATTGCTTTGATCACATTGGTCGTGTTGCTATGTCTCTGAGCCTCCCCATTGATACATACTCGTCAAGAAATCTGTGTAATACAAATCACTGAGTTTAGTAAAATATGTTTTTTATCTAATTTTCTTGGTGTTTCATTTTTTTGGGGGGTTGTTTTGGGGGGTTTTTTTTCTGGGAAGAGCAAAGTTTTCAGCAGTATTTTCATACAAATGCTTCAGTTTAACACTACCTTTTCATCTACCTGCAATCTGAAAATATATACACACACACACATATCTATGTTTAGATAACATAGGAAAGTGAGGCTTTGACAACAATCCTCATCGTCATGCAGAATTTCATAGTGACCAAGGGAGTGATGTAAGTTATTCTCTACTGATAATTAGCAGTCATGCACTAAGGACAGCTCTGAATCCCATAGTTTATTTGAATTGGCTCTAGTGTTCATCCAAGATCACTGATTCCCCTGGTCCTGGACAGGACAGGGTGAATTTTTGCAGTAGCCAGGAGGGGGCATGGCTAGGACATGGAGATTATTCTATACCACCTCACATGGAAAAGAAGTAATACTCTAAAAATTTCATAAAGTTTGGGATTAACCCTAGCTCATTAGGAATTTTTTTAGCAGAAAAAAAACCATTTTCTACAACTTTCTGACAAGTTTTATAGATGCCTTATCTGACTCTCTAAAATTGTTCCATTTCTCTCACTTTTATTAGAGTGAGACCAACTTCATCTGTGACACTCTCTGCCATGATCATCTCACTCAGCCTTTGTTTTCCATTTCTCTCCTACACATGCAGAAGAACATGACAAGAATGTCTAGAGACAACAGCAAAGAAATTCTTAGGAGAAAACCGAAATACAGTAATATTTAAGAGATGAACATAAAGAACTAGAAAACTGACAATTAAGAGAATTTTTACCACCTTCCTTACTATAATGCAGACAGAAAGGTAATATTATTCAAGTTTTATAAATACTAGAAATTCCCAGCACATTTAATAAAGGAATGCACTGCCACAGAAAAATTGAGGCCAAGAATTCAACACAAGTAAGGTAAACATTTCCTAGAACAACAATAGTATTTCTAAGTACTATGTCACAGTAAGTATATTAAGTGTTGTAGAGATTTAAACTTAAGTAGTATTTCTCTTATAAAGTTACAGAGATAATGTGCAGATTATTGATTTTTCTAGTTGCCACTGAAAAAGTCTGAAGGAGTATTAAACATTCTGCATTTTGATTTAATACTTGCCAGTTGACATATCTATCTGATGCAAAATTAATTTAAAATCTGGCACTAGCTTTTAGTGAAGAGTGAACAGGAAATAGAGCTTTATCTGAAATAGTACTACTGTCTGTGTATTCCAATAATTAAAGCACCATTATATCTTGGATCCAACAAAAAGCTTAATAAAGTAGAAAAGATGGTTTTTTTATCCTCACTTTACATCATATTTCACAGACTAAAAAGTCAATGAGTTTTGAATCATTAATACACAGAAAGAAGTGCTGTTTTCCCTTTTTCTTGTTGCTACATGGATTTTAAAAGGAAGATTTTGTGTTTTAAAAGCTAGATTCTCCTAATGCTTTCATCAAAACAGCAAATTAATATCTGTCCAAGTATACTCAAGCTGTTGCCAAAAGGAACTGAAAGTGAACTGTGATGTTTCCTTTTCCTAAAGGCAGCATTTCAGAAACATAACTGACACCCTTCTGCAATGTGTAACAAGAACACTGATGTGATGCTTCAAAGTGCAAGAGAAATTATTGAAATTATACTAGAATTTGCACCTTCAATATACATTAAATACATCACAGAAAAGGAAGCAGCCAAAGTGAGATACACAACGCAATTTTCAGTAACGCCTTTAACATCCTTTATTTTCCCTGTGGCTCTCTTCCCTCCCTGCTGTGAGGTGAATGCTATTGGCTGTACTCTACTGCAAGTGCAAGTGCTGCTGTACCCAAAGAGCAATCCTGCTGCTGAGGCTTCACCCAACCTGCTTTCTGGGACACCTCAGCTCTACACCACCCAAACATGCCCCACTTGCACTTCTCAGAAGCTCTGCATCCTTGAAGATGCAGCATTTACGGACATACTTCTGTCTTGATCAAGACATGACATTTTTGGTTGTTGCCTGACTTTGTGATTACGCTACAAATATTGCTTTATTGCACTGTACTTGCTGATACCTCGACTGGCAAGAATCAGGGAGAAGAACAGCTGTAAAATCACTAATATCCCCACCTTTTAAAGTGTTAAGTAGAATTTATTTATTTCTAGTTTATTTAAGTATAGTTATCTTCTATCTCACTCTTTCTTCATGTCTGATTTTCTTCTAGTAGACATTTTGTCTTCTGCAACAGAAAAATATTCTGATGCGTGGTTGGTATCAGTAGAGACACATGTTTGACTTAGCTCCTCAGTGTCAGAATTGCTGTCACTTGGCATTCCTCCTGTCTCATTTACTGCATGCACAGAACCTCCTAAAGATGGATCATTGCATGTGCCAGGAACAGAACACATTGCATTCTGAAACTGTACAGGCTCAAGTTCATCTTCCCTCCTAGGACGCATACAGCCGTTTGCAGCAACAGTTTCTTCATCTTCTACCTTTTTTTCTTGCTTTGTTGTTGCAGTAATTTGAATGGAAGATGTATTCTCATATTCAGCTGGAAGCACAACTGAACATAAAAGCTGACTACAGGAAGCATTATCATCATCAAGCATTTCTGCACTTTCAGCTTTTTTAGCTGAGTTCACAGGAAAGCATGAGCCTTCACATGGATGACTATGACTAGAAGCAGGCTCTGCAGACTCAGAGGATACAGGCTTCCCTAGATTTTCAAGTGTTTTGTCAGGAGATTTGCTCTTCTCCTTTTCCATTTTTTCAGTTCTGTTCCCAGAAAAAACCACAGAAGTAGTCGGTGATTCGGAGGTATTTTTGACAATACCTCCAAATGAAAATACTGATGAAGATAATGGAACGTTACTTTTGAAGGGAAATGCACAATTATTGGTGAGAAGGGGTGATTCAGAGACATCATTCACCCCAGCAGCAGTATTGGTTTCTGAAGTAACGCAAGTTACAGTTGTGCTGGATTCTGAGGCATGAGATCTTTGTTCCCATAAGACAGATGCTTTCTGTGTACCATATTCTGCAGTTTCCTTTGCACAAAGTGTTTTTTCTCTCATGGGAGATAACATTTTTTTGTCAGATGGCTTCTCAGACTGGTTAAGAAACGATGATGGTGGTAAAACCTTAAATGAATTACTGACTTCTGATCGTACAAACCAATCTCTTTCTGAATTGCCAAAGGGAAACAAAATGTATGGCTTTGTGCTTTCTGCTGAGTCTAAATTAGGACTGGCTGAAGAATCACAAACTGTGGTTTTGGTTTCACGACCACGTTTATCCCGGTTATCAGTTTTATCCACATTATCACATTTCCCTAGATAAAACTGAGGGAAAGCACATTTCCTGTCTTGCTTTCTAAAGGAAAATAGACCTCTATCTTTAATAAATCTCGGTAATGAGTTGTTAGTTGCACTGAAAGTAAAAGGTACACCAGAAAGTCTCTCTGCAGAAATATCTAGAGATTCTGAACTTGCAGCAGTAACAGCTACTGTTGCTGCTGGTTTTACACCTGATGAAGTGCTACAATTTGTGTCCATTTCGTTGAAAACAGTAACTGAGGATGGTTGTAACTTTTCTTTAACTAACAAGTCTTTAGAGTTCTCTGAGTCTTGAGTGGTTACTTCCTGGGAATTTCCCTCATGAAACAATTGTAAGTCACCATTTGTTTCAGAAAAGTTTGTATTTGTGGATGGGATGCTTCCAAGAAAATTTCTTTTGTCAAAGCGGCCTGCTCTTCGCAGGGTTGCCATTTTTATTTTATCTGTGTTACTTGCTTTGGTAGGTGAAGATACAAAAGGAGTTCCTGAGGACTTATCCTTCCAGGCCTCAGCAGTTAAAAATTTATATTTTTTATTTGCAGGTAAATTTTGTGTCTTGAACAAATTGTTGAGTTTCTGAAGTTCCATATAGTATTTGTAACGTAACTCCTACAATGACAGCAAAAAAATCCCATTATCTAAAATGGCATTTGTGGATTCAGAGGTTATAAAACTCACATATGATCCTAAGACTGAAGAAAGGTTTTCATATATTCTATAGCATTTATGATGTATTTTTCCATTGCTACTGGAAAGCAACAGAACACAAGTCATTACAGAAAAAAGTTCTTTAAAAACAACTGAACAAAATACACAAGGAATCCTGATGACAACGTAGGTTTTGAAACACGACAGTATAGGAAACTGTATTTAAAGTCACTATCAGAATCAGAAATAGCTAAAAATACTAGCTTAGATATTAAGTGACAACTTCTCATGAAAAACAGCCATCTGAAATCAATTTGGGTGGTGGGGTTTTTGTTATTATATGAAACTGCATTCTTAATGGCAACAGAAAATAGATGTTCTCCAAAATAATATAGCAAAAGAAAAGTAATTCTATATTTAAAGGACCTAAGTAACTTTTTTTAAGCATTCCAGCATCTGCCACTCGTATTCTCAGAACATGTGTAATGTGATTTGCTGCCAGCCATGCTTCACTAACTGAAGCTAGAATTACTCTGTACAGAACAATACTCAGCCAACCAAATGGAACTGTTACTAAGTGAAAAAAATCTAATTGTGTAACTACATCATTGGAAACCGAACAAAAAAGAGACTGGATTCAGTTTTATGTCAAATTATACAGCTTTAGAAGACAGAATTCTATTATCTTCAGAAAACAGAACACTGGCAGATGACCTTCTCTTCATATAAGCATAGGGAAGCTTATTTGGATTAGAAAGTTACAGATGTGACTCAAAAAGCCATACTAAAATATAAAAGTAAGTATTTGAAGCCAGTAGTAAGATTTAAGTTCCAGCCTTCTGAAGACAAAAAAAAAAAAAGTAAAATCCTGACAGCTTTAATACTTAGTCAGATTTCATTCTAGAATTGGAAGGTAACTTTCTACCAAGAAAAGCTTTTAAAACAGTTTTCAGTTATTTAGAAAGTTGCATCATAACATATAGTAACTCAGCCATACTTAC